GCTCCATGTTAAAAATGATATATTTGGTAAATGATATATTTCCTACTTCTTATCAACTACATGGACTGTTAACACGCGTTTCAGATACGGTAAACCACGATTTGTTAAGAATTTTTTTCTTGTATGGGGACAAAAAAAAAATCTGAAGCAGACAGAAGGCATGATTTCTCCTATTAGCCGAAGCTTTATCGTCAATACAGCCTATTAAAATACAATACGATGGTGATAAAAGAAATGCTCACAAAGCACATGATAGGGAATCCAATTTTATGGGATCTGAGAAAGAGAAATGCGGTTATATTACGGATTATCTGTCATGTGGGACTTGGTAAATCACTTTGTTCTGAATATAGCAGAGTGAAAGATATTTTGGATAAAAACCCTGGAACACATTTGCTAAGATTAGTAATTCTGCCTGCAGAAAGAGTGAGGGGTGGGGAGATAGAGAGATAGAGAGAGAGAGAGAGAGAGAGAGGTGGTTTTTTGTGGGGGGGGGGGGGTACAGATAAAGATTTTAAAAAAGGCCCTGTATATAGATTCAGAGAATTGACACAGGAAAAGAGAGGGGAAGAAAGTGAAACAAAGAAAACTAGAGAGAGAAGAAAGGGGATACCAATCAATGACCTACGGCAGGAGGTATGATTTCTACCCAAGTTTGTGTTGGCTTAATGTCAATTATATCCATACTTATATCTTATTTAATGTGTTTATTGTAAGGGTTTCAATAAAATTATGTGGCAAAGTTTTCAACATTTCACAAGATACGTAGAAATTTAGGGGTAAGATTAGAAATATTTGAAAAACACAAAGCAACGTAAGTTGAGCGTCATGTTTTATAAAAACTGTTTTGTTAGTGTAATATACATGTATGTTTATTGAGAATATGTTTTAAAACTAAAACAACAATAAAAGTAAGAACTCAAAATAAGCTTTTAAAAATCTATTTCCTAAAGAAATTCTTTATTCTCTCTACCTTTTCAAGGTAGCTTATAGTAACAAAATAACCTACTTGAAATGATTAAATGACATGTTGGGCATACATAAAAAAAGACCTGTTTTTCAAATACAAAAACGAATACAATGTTGATTACTATAGATACTATGCCCAAATAGCGTGTGAACATTATATAATGACATACATGTGCTAGAAAGCTCTGCTTTAATATAGACAACATAAATTGGCATGAATATAATCATGTCAGTTGCTTATTTTTTGATGCAATTTTGAGAACAAATCATGACATCAATATGTTATTGCATTGCAATTATCTTTGATAAATGTTTGCATTTGCTTCACGAAAGTTTGGGGGTGAATAGTGTGTGCAAATACATGTCACCTGAACTGATCATATCAGAGAACTCATGATCTGATGATAAAAATCAACACTAACCTTTCCCTCCATTCTCAAGATGACCAACTTAAAATGCTGTCACAAATTGAGCGAAAATCTGGTGCAAGATAGTCTACAGTGCTTATTGATCACCTAAAATATTGCAAACTAAATCTAACAATTCGTGCATGTGTATTGCCAAATTTTTGGACCTACTTTTCTGCTATCAAGTTAAGTTAAAAGTTGGTTCCTTATTAATCATATTTGACATCAAGATATGTTTTTTTTTCTTCAAATAGGCTTATGTCAGGAAGCAGTGCACACATTAGCCTGCTGTGAGATGAAAATCGGACATATAGATGTACATCAGAGAACATGGCATAAATCCCATTATGTAACATTCTTTGTTACATACCTTAATTACAGCAAGAATAATTACAACATCTTTATTAAGAGAGAAACTTTGTTCCGTCCTCAAAGAGTATTGATTACAAATCATTTACAAATAAAAAGACCTCCTGGTTTCATAAGCAATTTGCAAAGCTGAAAATAATTATTTTCTACAGATACACGAGTTGTACTCAAGATATAGTTTCTTTCCCTACACATGTAAGCTAGTACTGCTAGGATGTGTTCTAGCAAACCTTAATATAAGGCATGTATGGAAGAGGAGAAGAATGTAATAGCATTTGTAAGGAGGAATACATTCAAATCTGAGTTCCATATATAAACAAATATTTTAGTTCACTAAGCAAAAAATAACTCAAGATAAATTCACATTGAAAAGCAAAGAGAAATGGAATGAAATCTTCTCTGATGCATTAATTATTCATAAGTATCAATTTTTACACTTGGACTGGTCAAATTTGATTTGCAATTACAGATTGCGAAAGTGTTCAGAGTTTAACAATAAGTTATTTCAGGACTTTGCAACTTTGCTTCAGAAAGTACCTTCGAACGAGAGTAGTTAAATGGAAGTAATTAGGAAAGGACCTATATTTCAGGATGTGGAATAATACTTTCCTGCATTGTGTCCATTAATTTCCATTTAACTGCTTCTAGGGACAATCCAAGACTTCTAGACTTGTCAGCATCAAATTCATATCAAATACCGAATTTGTTCATGCATGCTAGTTGCTGCTTCATTTAATCGTCTTGCACCTTTTACAATAATGAAGACAGATAATCTGCCTCTTTGAAGCAAGACAAAAAGAGTTTCTCCTCTTTAAGTCTTGGCTTCAATAGCTTTGTGCACTCAAATCTGTGTGATTAGTAACAGGATCTTGGCAAGCTGACTATCTCCTAATCACTATTAAAGAAAATCAAGAACACCATTAGCGGCTCTATCATTATCTTCTAGCTTAGGTGAATTATCATTTGCCGGACAGGAATTTTAGCTTATTCAAAGAGCAGGATCTCCTGGCCAATAACAGAAGGATTACACGCACATCCTATAGGAATAGCTCAAACAATTTGGGATCTAAGGGAACTTCACCAGGAATTTAGAAAAAACAAATTAAACAGTTAAGATGAAAACTACTATTCATCTCAATACATATCTTGTGACATTAATGATTAGATTATATGACCTAAAATGAAAGCACATGACTGATTGCTTCTTACAATATTTCAACAGGATTTGAATATTCAGCTAACATTAACAAAAAATACTGACATACGTAATAGGGACACTTAATCAAAGTGAATGCTTTTATATAGCTTTAGTAATCAGGCATACATAGCATTTTGTAGATAAATGATGTTCTACATGCTATGATATGCATTTCTTTAAAGGTATTACAAAGTTTTAGGAAATTTTGAAACTTGGGTTGATAGTGATTCTTTACAATTTTGATATATTTGGATGCCCCTGTGGATGTATTAAAAGCACTAGAAATTTTAGCCCCTAAAACACTTCTGCTTTCGAGAAAAATTGAATATAGAGATTTACCGGTGCTCCCGGTGCTCCCGGTAAATTTTGATAAGTTTCAAATAGCTCCTACGGCCGTACAATAGTAGCTGCGACCATGATAATGTCATAATATGTAGTTGTGGTATATAATTTCCGAACGGGAATAGCTAATTGGCCGATTTTAGTCAAGAAACGTTGTTTTATAGCTTAATTAATATCTTGACCTTGAGAGGGAGCTATACAAAATAAAATATTTATTATTTATAATTTCTTAAATTTCGAGTCGATTTCGACCTCGACAACGATCACTGAATATTGTGGGATCGCATATGCTTCCAATATGTTCATTTGAACCAAATTCATGACCCCATACCAAAACTTTGTATTACCTTTAACAAACTTCAAATGGAATGTTAAAGGTACTATTAGAAAAAATCACATTTGCAAATGGATATGTCTATACACAAAAATAAGATGTCTTCCGGTTTATGTACATTTTTAAGACATCACCAACTTAGAGTCATGCTCTATTTGTATAATGACTATATAATGACTAGGATGTTAATATGTGATTGTCCTGCAGCTTTTGGTTAACATATTTGCAGCTAGGTCAACTTAGCAAGTTTATATTTGTGATTTATGCGTCTGAAATGGGCCAAAATATTTCTTATCCCCAGTATCAGATCTCCAACAAACCTCAAGCCTTTCCAAACTCTTGGATTTTATTTTCAAATGAATATATTTCTCTGTAAGTTTAGAGAAGGGTCACCATACATTATTTCCAGAGTTGTTGGTCTAACTAAAATTATTCAACACTTAACTCATGGCTACGAAAGCTGGGCAAGTATTATTAACAATATAAATATATTTCAATTTCCAGAATATTGCATGAATATACAAATAATACACAGCAGTGAGGGCATTTGTAAGAATTACCCACACAGGGTACCTTTGGAACAAGCTAACACGCCCGAGGCAATAGCCGAGGGTGTTTGGACTTTCCTGAAAGTACTGAGTGTGAGTAATTCTACTAATGCCCGAACAAAGGGATGTGTATTATTTGTTTTATAAGATGATGTTTTATTTGTCTTATAGAATGATATTTTATAACCTGATTTTACTAACGACCGGTCATTAATATTTGCTAATGATCGGTCGTTAGCAAAATACATGCCTGGTCACGTGTACGCTCTCAAATAATCAGTGATTAGGACCGCTTCATTATCTTATAATAACAGCTCACTACCTTTAAAAAAAAAAGTACTGTTTCTCTACAGTATGCATGTTATTTTAAATGGACAGCATCAAGAAATTATCAAATCATAATATTTTCCTAAGTTTAAAGGTAAAGACAAGTTTTGGAAACACCCCCCTCTAAAAAAATGAAATGGAAGCTCTTATTACCAGTCATGTGGAAGAATATGTTTTGACTGAAACGTGATGATAAAACTTTTGCCAGGAAACCGCCTACTAATTGATATATCTTGTAAATTATTATATCTATCCGGACTGGATAGATATAGGGTAGTCACATATACATCTTTCTGTGTACAGTGCTTGTAACTTTACCAAGACTGGGCAAAATTTCTTATCAATTTGATGATACCAGAACCTTGCAATACACACCAATACTTATATGCTAGATGATCAACCTTTTTTGATCAATTCCACAACGTTTCTTTCACAATGCAATTGCATGACCAGAACTGGTCTATACCTTTAAACAAAGAACTATAACAATAATAATGATCATGATTAATTTCAACTACTACAGTAAAAAAATTAAAAAATGTAGAAAATATCCTAATTCTGATTAATTTTGTTTAAATATTTGCAATATTTGCAATGCATGTCTTAATATGCAACAGGCTTCTGCTTGAGGTAATCGATGGAGAAGAATGACCAACAGACATGACCAAAATTATTTTATCTGTACATAATTTCAGTTAAATTAAGGGAAGAATGTTCATCTATTGGAGATCATTGTCTGTTTGAAGGAACAACCATACATTACAAGGCTAACTGTTGAAGAGTTGAGTTGAGCATGTTGGACGATGAAGGAGTTAACTTCACCTGGTTTCGATGTGATCACGGGGTTCAGAAATTTACAACATATCCAGCTGCAGAAAAATGAGAGAAAAATGGATGTAGTTACAATTTTCTGTTCCCAGAGTTTATTCCTGCATCAATGAAGACAATGGGTACAGGGCTAATCATGCTCGTTCAAAAAATAAGGGTGTATTGACTTTTTTTCTTACTCATCCTTATCGTTATAATTACTATAATTCATTTCGTTTTGGTGGGGTAGGGAGGGAGAGATGACCAGAACATTTTTTTTACAAATCTAAGGACATATGTAAAGGTTTACCAGAGCTGATCTGTCTGGAATATTTCTTTGACAACTTTCCCTCTCACAACAATCAAAGGTCAAATTTGTATTCTATAATTTTCTAAGTTGCTAAAACGTTAAATTCGGTCATTAAATAATATTCACTTAATAGTTTTGTTTTCTTTTGGTTATTATAGGGGGTATTGTGTTGGTACCTTCAAATATGGGAAAAATAAGATGTCAAAATAACTACCCGGTACAATTTACAAGTTCAGTTAACAACTAAATTATTCATACCCTTACCAATTCTTGTAATTTTTTAAGTATGTGAAAATTGTTATGTCCCAATTTATGTTTCTTGAGAATGTGACATATTAAACCTTATATCTAAAAGTATGCATCAAAAAGGCCCTAACTCAACCAGTCTACCTTTCATTCTTGAGTTAGAAAAGCACAAAAAACTCAAATTTACAAGGGTTATGAATAATTCAGTTTTTAATTGTATAAGCAGTTCATAAAACAGCAGTATTCGTGGTGTCTCCTCTCCTTATAAACGACTGAGCTAATCCTTGTAGTCAACTACATTGTCTGTTGTTAGTAAAAAACTGGTTTATCTTAATCTTAAAAGATACCCCTCTGGTTCCAAGCAGAATTGATTCTACATTTCATGGCACCAATATTGTGAAAATAAAGGGGATTAGCACACTGATTACACTCACCAAATCATCAGCATCTTCTTCCTCATTGGCTGCAGCTGGCTCGTCTTCCATTGGAACTTCCTCCTCCTGGATAAACTACAAAAAACATGGAAAATAATATTAAAATCATCTTCCAAGTATCAGAATTTGAAAATAGTGCAAGAGACTCCCTTGAAAAAGATGACACTGCAATGAAAGTTTGGAGGATCTACAACAAGATTGAACAAGATCAAAGATCTAACACGATACTCCGTCTAAAAAATGAACTGCATTTCTGTCTGAAGATCATTGTATATTGTTGAGGTCTTGAATTGTCTGTCAATCATTACGGGACCAACCTAAACAAACCATTATAAATATTGAAATCATAGAAATCTTCCGCATCTTATTCATTCATTCATTTCGGTTGATTGAATAAAAATTCCTTATTAAAACAGTGATGAAGACTGATAGTATATATTTGTAAAGCGCTTAGAGACATTTGTATTAAGCGCTATATAAAAATTAAATATTATTATTATTATTATACAAACAAAGATTACAAAGTTGAAATGTTAAAAAAATACGAAGAAAAATTAAAAATACATCAATATGGAAAAGAAACAAAAATTTACAATTTATAATGACAGATGGGAATCATTAAAGAATACCTTGTCAGCTTCATCTTTAGATACTTTGCTGTCTCTTGCTTCTGTAACATCGATGAGTGTGAGACCATCTGTTAGAAGAAACATTGAATGAACTTTAATCCTTACTGCTACAATGAATGCATTACACCTTCGACGCAGGTATATCCATATTCAAGTCACACTGACAAACCAAACCCAAACTGACCGATATCTTGGCTATTCATGGAAAGTCATTCTCGCTATCACCACTACAGTATTCGGCCGTAGAGGACAGCACTGGTCCTGGGTATATATTGGCAAAGGCACTTCAGGGTCCAATACCAATACTATATGGGTCTAGAACTTGAAAGTCTGATAGAAATGATAGTGTCGGAGCCAATGTATACATAATGATGGTGTCTACTTAGATCTTATGAAATCATCAGGGGAGTTCATGAAACCTGAACAATATTTTTATCAAAATCAGTGATTTGTTGACACTGCTGTACATTCTTTATGGGAAGAAATCTTGTCACATGGTCTTCCCCGATATGGTAACAAACAACCAACATTTGTAATCTTACCTTTTGTTACATCTTGCCAGAAATCGACTTTCAAGAGTTCTTTCAGTTCGTCCTTCAGTTTCCTCAGATAAGCATTGAATGTTTCTGGTTCACTCAGCTGAAGAGGAATGTGGACAAATTTGATGGGTTCAATGAAATTATCCATGCGACATCTACTTTTGAAAACATGACCCTTATTCTCGGTGCTGTCGGTAAGGAGTTGGTAGGAAATTAGTGCTCAAGATGCGATCAGCCAATAATAATTACAATGTTGATAATCAAAGTCAACGCAGATCTATATGTTTTAATAAAATGATTATTAGATTGAAAACAATATCAAATTCAGGACTCATATCATGATCAAACATACACCAACAGAGGCCTTTAACAAAAAAAAATTGTATTGCTCTTTAAGAACGACCTAATATCATGAAATCTACGGTCGGCTTTTAAATTAATTAACTGATTTTTAGAGAAAAAAATCTCAAAGCATTCAAAACAAGGAAATATCAGCCCAAAGAGGGAGAAAAAAACAAAGAAAAGATTTCTGATTGTCCGACCCATGTTTTGGCACCTAAAGGGCAATACAACATATTTTTTTTGTTAGGCCTTATCAAAAGCCCAACATATGCCGCTGAGCATGTTACCTGTATTGCTTGCTCTCTGTAGACCCGGAGACAGTCCAAGGCTTTACCGTAGAGCTGGGATCCAAATGATTCCTTGATCAGCTGTAGAATTCTCCTTCCCATCTGACCAGCAGCTGAAAGGACAAACAACACTCACATTTATTAATTGCAGGATCTGTTTGAACACATTCTACTAACCAAAAACTCTCTTAAGCCGGACATTCAGTGGGAATATTATCAAAGAGTAAAAGAAATAGTGGAAATGGTTATATTTTGGTCATTCTCACTACGATGTGCATGACAATCATGATGTTTGCTGTATCTATGATATTTTGTTTCTCAGGTTATACAATTAATCCTTGATATTCTACAATTACCTTCATTCTGCTGGTTGAACTGTACAAAAACCTGCTTAAAATCTTGGATACAACTTATATGATAGTACAATTGCTTTGTGGAATATGTTACTGTATTTTGCACATGTTATCTATAGCTTTTTTTGGTTTGCACACTTGGTACAAACTGGTAAGCATGTATGGTATTTCTGAAGAGCATATCAAAAGAGGGTAAATCTTACCTTCCTTGAATCTATCTTCATCTTTCTGTGAGATAATGGCCTTGAAGTCTCCAACTGGATCAACTGTACCAACCTAGAAAATAAACAACATTTTTTTTTTAAATTACAGAATTGTTCAAATCAATACTACAGAAATCAAATCCAGTGCAAGGACATGCTTATGCGAAGAAAATATCATAATCTCATCAACATTCTCAGCCTTATGTCATAAAATGACAGGTACTGTTGAGTAAGTTGGTTATCATCATGACCATAATCAGCGGCTTCATCCTCATTATCATCAACATCATAATCATCATCATCACCAATGCCACCAACACCACCATCATCATCCTTTGTATCACCATTATCCCCACCACCAATACAAACAACAACCACCACCATCGCCACCACATCAATGATCGTCATCATCATTATCATCACCACCACCACCATAATCATCATCATCATCATCACCATTATCATCACAACCACAACCGATACAACCACCACCAACCCCAACCCCACCACCATCATCATCATCATTCGTATCACCACTGCCAATACCACAACCACCATCATCATTCGTATCACCATTATCATCGCGACCACCAACGCCAATACCACAACCACCATCATCACCGTTGTCATCATCACCATGACATACCTCTGTGACAACCCCCATTGCCATTCCAGCCATACTGAGATCCCCTCCGTTGACCTCATCATCGACCTTTGCCTTCTTACGCGCTGGTTCCCCATCACCCCCATCACTAGGTTGAGAAAAGACATAGGAATAAGGCTTTGTATAAGGTACAGGGAAAACTTGAGTGAAAAAAACAGAGACTTACTAATTGCTATTAAACAGAATATTCTTTTTAATAAAGCTATTAAACTGTCTTATCTACTAAACCTTTACATGCTATGTGTAACAAAAGCAATGTATCTGAATATTTTACATGTATGAATTCATAACAGATTCATTTCCTTCTGTTACATACATGAATAATGGGGTACTTGCATTGTAAAGTCTACTTTAATGAGGATATTTATCATCTTTTCTGAGCAAGAAAGGTGTTAATCATTGTTAAATAATATAAGTCAAAATCGGTCCGCTTTGAGCAGACCCTATGTATTTCGTGGCCAATTTATCAATGAAACGTGGAGATGACAATCAAAACTTGATTCTGACCAGCTTATCAAATATCATGGTTCAAATGCTTAGTGTCAAAGAAAAGGGTTATTTACAGCCTACAAAATTAAATTAAATTGTCATCTTTCCTAACCAAAAAAAGATTTCTTGTAGAGTTGTTTTGGTCCAGTAGATGAGATTCTCTACTGTGAACCACAAGGTAAAGGTTCAAATCCCTGTCACAGCACTAATGTCCTGTGGCAGAACATTAATCTACATTTGCAACACTCAACCCAGGCGAGATAAATGGGTACCTGGTAGGAATTAATTCCTAAAAATTCTTGAGCACTGTAATGGCAGCTGTGCTAAAACCGGGATGATAATAATGGAGTGCCAAAAGTAGCAATGTGCTAGGCAGGAGTGCTAAACAAGAACCCACTATCATTAATAATATTCTTATTATTTTATCATTATTGTACCTGGCTTTCCATATGCTGTCTCCTGTGACATTTTCCTTGGCTTTGGCCTTCTCCAGCTTGAAGAGCTTCTGCATCGCCTCTACGTCAGGTTCGCACTGGACAGCTACAGCCCTGCAGGGTTGTAGGTAGGTGGCTATCGCTGTTTCAATGCCAGGTATGGGGTCGTCTGGGTTCAATGCACGATGCATTAGGCACTGCAATTGCAAAGTAATAATGCATCGTCAGAATAGTTAACAAAATAAACTTGCAGGCCTCCGCTCTTGATAAAATGCCCTTCAACTGCAAAATCATAAATGCTCAGGCATTATTTGAACACAAATCTATTTGTACACTGTATAGGTAAGCCCAATGTATTGGGTCACGTAGGTGTCCAATACTTAACCCATTATGTGGAGATTAACACATAAATTGACATTAAATGTTTAATTTCGCTTCAGAATTTTTTCTCATCCGAGTTCTAAAAGGGCAATTAAAATTGAATACAATCATCAGACATATTCAAAACCTCAGATGTTGTTAGTATTGTACAGGATCACTCAGATGTACAGATATTGATTGAGAAGTTTACATCTATTTAAATGCACAATATGAGACAGGACAATATGTCCAGCCAGATCTTACCTGACATAGTCTTTGAGTGTAAGGGTTTAAGGTGTTCTTTGGTTTCAGAGCCTCTGTATCTCCATCTTCATCTCTGTCAATGAAGTAATAATAATAATAATAATAAACATTTATAAAGCGCACTTTTCTAATTACCTACTCAAGGCGCTATACAAAATACACAAATCTCTCTCCAGAATTTTAACAACATAATATCATTTTGTAACTCTGAGTAAATAAAAACGTTTTAACATGTTTCTGAAAGGTTTCTAGGCATTGAATGTTTCGAATGGCACTTGGCAGCTTGTTCCAGAGGACTGGTGCAACATGCACAAATGCACGGTCCCCATGGGTGGTTTGGGTTACTTTCAGGAACTCAGGTGCAGTATTGTGGAGTGCCTTAAAGACAAGCATTAGGATTTTGTATTCAATCCGCTTTTGAACTGGGAGCCAGTGGTAATGTCTTAGGATTGGAGTGATGTGTTCACTCCTCTTCTAACGTGCCAGAACTCTTGCAGCATTGTGTAGAACTCTCTGCAGTCTAGAGATTGGAGACTTTGGTAGACCAAGTAAAGGAACAAGTGGTATAAAAGATGAAATCATCAATTAAAAAAAATATATATATACAAAGTGGCATAAGAAATGTTACTAAAGATGATGATATGCCTTCAAAATATTATGTCAAGGAATGTGTTATGATGATGGAAATCTAGATGCTCAATGCACTATTTTCAACTTGTGTATACTCCTGAAGTCATCCTAATACATCGAAAGTTGATGACAACAAGTGGCTGTCATTTCAGATTAAAATTTTATTTCATCTTTGATATGTGGATGACGTGCTTGAGAGAATTGGAACAACATGTACGTACAAGTTAGTCAAAATGTTAAGTTAATATTGAAAACTTATAAAATTACCAACCAGAAGCTATCAGGTTAATTCAGAGAAATTTAAGAAACTACAAATCCAATTTGATTTTTAATTGTGAAGTCGTTTCTCCCGAGTTTGAAGAATAAAGACAATAAAATTATAACACACAAAGACTTACTCTTCTGCTGTCATCAGATCCATGTTGTCAATGAGACTATCAACTGCTGCAAGTTGTTCCTCTGCAAGATTATAAAAAAAGAAATCAATAATATACATTTAATCTATCAACACCACAAATTTTTATAATACTGATACCAAATTTGGTAAATCGTCTCAAAGACGGGCACAGTTCATTTATTTCATGAAGAGAAAGTTATTTAATTTTTTCCACATTAAAAACAATCCAAATATTTTTACATGTAAGAAGCTAACTTGAAATAAAGCGGGGGAGGGGGGAAATGTGACACTATCATAGTTTTATTCCACACAACGACTATTGAAATTCATAGTAAGTATAAAAATCTTCACATGTCCAAAAATGCTTTCATCAAAGTTTCAACAAGATTTTCTAATGAAATGAAGGTCAAACACGTCTTTGCAACAGCAAATTGGTATCCTCGCAAAAGTCACAGTAATATCGGAGAACCAATAATTAGTAGTGGGTACATGTATGAAGCCATTGTAATTTATTGTTAATGTGACTAACCTGATGGCTGGCATCTCTTATTGTTGTCTAGTGACTATAGTGAATGTGACTAACCTGATGGCTGGCATCTCTTGTTGTTGTCTAGTGACTATAGTAAATGTGACTAACCTGATGGCTGGCATCTCTTGTTGTTGTCTAGAGACTATAGTGAATGTGACTAACCTGATGGCTGGCATCTCTTATTGTTGTCTAGAGACTATAGTGAATGTGACTAACCTGATGGCTGGCATCTCTTATTGTTGTCTAGTGACATGAAGGTATACATTCTGAGATCTTCAGCAAAGGGAAGCTCAATGTAGAAGAGAGCCTGAAAAGATTGATTTAAATTGAACAAAAATTAATTAAAATCAACACAATTAATGACAACAACAACAACATCAATCAGATGGGAACGATGACCACTCAAAGAACGGTACCTAAAACTTCTTATATTTTTTTAAAACTTCAACTCGTAGCCTTGTGCTGTTTAGCATTCTGGTTATTTGTATCGCCACCTAAATTGGATTATATGAAGCACATCTTCAGCCAACCAGCTAGAACTCCTTTGATTTCTTCCACATCAAATATTGATCGCGGCTCGCGATTGTTCCATTCGTTGTTGCAGCGCCCTAGTGGAACTGCACGGGATAAGCCTCTCGAAACCTCCCGATCTTGGTCCGATGAAGTTGCAGAGGGAAGGGATCTAGCCCTGTAAACGATCATCGGATCGGGGGCCGATCTTGAGACGATCAGGTGAGGTCAGATAATAATTTCCGATCGCCGATCAATAAAAATGATCGGGAAAAAATCAGCAATTTTTTTTTAATGCCGACAATTTTTAAGTTTTTGGCTATCAAAAAAAAAAATGCATAGCTGAGATTATTTTGTCATTTTGAGTTGTTGTAGAACAAGTTTGTTGATATTGAGTGCCTTTTTATGACTTTGAAATTAATAATATTGGTCCAAGAAAAGAGGCAAAACATCTTGGATTATATTGTGATTCTACAAAAATGAGAAAGGACGCAACCATGTTTTGAACTAAACGCGTAACAAATGCCTCATTCTGGCCAGAAAAAGTTAAGCATAAACGTACCCTAAGCCCTTTAAATATTTATACTATTACCCAGGTAATCAGATGCAGGCTGGCCCGTAGACATTCATTCATGATTTATCAGTAGTCTGATAAAATGAATCATCAATCACTCAAACATGAAATAGAACATACAAATTATTGGGCACGATTTTGCATCCATGGCATGTGAAACTTAAACTCCTCCTGTGTCGTCAAGTACTTATGCCGCCGTCATTCAGACTTTTAAAAGTTGTGTCATTGTGAAATTGGTAATAAAATTTTTTATACAGAAGATAACTTCATAATGAGTGTACCTGTCCCTGTTTCACACAAAAAACAAACAAACAAAACCAAGCAACACAAGCCATCATTACATCTTTACACACTGTTCAACACTCAAACTCTAGGTAATGATTTGTTGCTGATAACAATGAAGGGGTCAACCATTACCCTATACCCTCTCACCTCATAATTAGCTTTGATGTGTGGGGCCAAGAAACCAATCCTTGGAGCGCTACTACCCGAGTAGGCTCTCCTAACGATGGCCACCGAGTTGGTCTCGTAAAGAGCATTGACGAGAGCCGAGAAAGACATCGCCGCTGCCTGGTCGTCTGGTTGGGCGTAGAAGATGTACACGCTGTTGCCTATTTGCTGGTGCTTTTTTATCTGGTGAAAAGGAGAGCAAATTGAAGAATGCGCATGTTATACTACTAGGCCTTTTAGATGCTCAGAGACTAACTTTAATGTACACTTCAAACATACTACATTCTTGCCATGTGAATTCAAGCAACCTTACTTTATGTTTCATGAACTCACCTCTTTGGCTTTTGATTTGTAATTACTTATGTATAACTATACTCATCACCCCCGTTAGTACTGATGGTTTCAACTTTAAATACATTGTATTACTTTACATATTTTTATCACTTTGAATTGGTAGAACCCTGTTTATTTTATTAAGTACTATTTTAATTTATCCATGTTTTTTTTTTAACCCTGTTATATTTTTTGTTATGCATTTTATATTGTAAACTGACTTGTTTAGTCTTTGGACTTTTTGATCAGTATTTTTTCTTGAATAAAACCAAATATCTATCTATCTATTACTCTAAGCATGAACGAATCTTATTTATATCAAATTAATTTAAGTCAGGATTTAGGAAAGAATTAAGTTACAATAAACTTTTTAAATACAAAATCAAAAAATATATAAAGTGCTTACAGTGTATATATTTGAATAGAAGAAAACACTAGGTACATCAAGAAGACCATTTTTTGTAGAGTATATATTCATTGTAATAAACGAATCATCAAAATCATCAGTAAAGACAATTTCACAAAAATTAGGATTTTCAAGAGTAAACGCTTCAGGGATCATGTTCTATCTTCACGGATGTAGGTGTATCCACAAGAAGAAAATTAGAAAATCCATTTTCATTATTTCAAAGTCAACAAAAGCTTTGATCTACCTTTAAATTTCTTCATTTCATCTTAACCAAAAGACGTTAAAAGATGGGAGTTGTTGCTACCTTGTTTGGCGTTCAACAATAAGGGATAGAGCAACGTCGATCTGGCGCTGCTCAGTGGCTGCCGGGCTCACGATCAATTGGGCAAAAAGAATTTCCGTTTCGGTTTAATAAAATTTGGAGTGGACTATTAGGCTATTATTATTATTATTATTATTATTTATCAGATAATAATTATTCTATAATAACTTACTTTGCTATCTTTAGTGAAGCCAAGGACTTGCATGACTTTGCCAGGTTTCTTGTAATCCATGTTTTTCTTGTCCTCCTCTGAGATTGGGATGATGTCATTACCATAGCGATAACCTGAATATAGAAGATGCAGGATGGAAAAGTCATAATGGTATTTTGTTTTCCTATTCTATGAAAGTTGAAGATCATCTAAATCTTTGAAATAACAATAAGCATTTTATGTAATAAGTAATTCTCATTTAAAAATGAGAATTACCAGGGATACATTCAACAAAATAAAAAATAAAAAATGTCCTTTTGAGCACCTGTAATAATTTGAAATATACGTGTGATTAAAAGTGAGGGTTGCATTCAACAAAAATGCAGGAAATTATGTGATTACTATTTGATCATTAATGTATGATATGTGCACGGCATAACACGCTTAGAAACAATGAGTATTGAGCACTATAACAATGTACTTTACTATCATATCTAAGACTTCTAATTTCTATTTATGGACCTTTTTTAAATAATTTGATGAATCAATGTAATTTTTTGTTTTAAGGTTGGATGGAGATGTTAAATTAATGTGTTTTCTACATGAATAAAATCAAAGGCTGTGGTATGGGAATTCCTAAGGGCATTTTCTTTCAAAAGACATCTTATTTATTTACTAAAAATAACCTAGTCTATCAAATAGGGCTACAAGCCATAGGTCCCCTACACCTTCCAATTACAACCATGTACTTGGCTTAGGCCTAAACCAAAAAGATGTTGTATTGCCCTTTAGGTGCCAAAACATGGGTCGGTCGGTCAGATTTTTTTTTTTTTTTTACTTAAAAAATTTATTTAAAAAAATCCCTCTTTGGGCTGATTTTTCTCAGTTTTGAACGCTTTAATACATTTTTTCTTCTAAATAACGGTAAAAAGAAAAAAACTTTAAAAAAAAGTCAATTTCGAAATTGTTGGGTCGGTCGCAAAGGGCAATACAATTCTTCTCATCGATCTCACCTTCCACCTGGTCCTCCTTTTCTACCTCTGTTTCTTCGTCATCGTTGAGATGCTTAGAGCGGATGGTTTGAGGGGTGAACTCTCTGTGACCTTTCTGGAAGGTGGACTTCCAGCTTTTGGTTGTGGCTTCTTTCACCTAGTCATATAGAGAATGAAAGGGTATTTCCTTCAGCAACACAGATGGGTGTCGTATCCGTAAATCTGGCCAACTATCGCATCACTATGCTTATTGATAATTATAGGCATTTCTATAGTGCCGTCTATCTAGAAATTCTATTCTGAGGCGCATTAATTATGCTATCATCTCTGAGGCAGCAACAATGAGGACAACTACCTCTATCTCTATTAGGAGATTCTGTACAATGACTCCCATACAACATATGACTTATCCCCATATACTTCACCCAAAGATGAACAATTTCTTGATATGAACACTGAATAATAGAGCTCTCTCACATCAGGACTACCATTCATCATAGACATATCAAGAGGATTTTAATTTAATTTTATTCATGGATGATAAACAGATGTCATCTGCCAACAGGGCATACCATCTATACACAGAGTTTGGCCAACTTGGTTTCACTGGGTCAGAACATGGCGTATATTCTTTTGTTTTGTGCTTGCTCAACAAAGCAGTAGTCGCCATATTGTGTCCAACTCGAACCGGGTTGGCCAAACTCTCCTAATCAATGGCACTGGGGCATATTACAAGCAAGTGCCCTCTTACATGATAACTGCCAAATAATGCTACTCATTAAAGATGATTGTCACTATCTTAGATGATCTTTAGACACCACTGGTCCCATAAATAATTGGGCCCACACATCACTGGCCCGAAGCATGATTTGTCCTATACCAACATAATAATATCTGCATCATCAGGGTAATGGATTAGCATAACCCTTACCTGAACCATGTTACCCTAATGCTTTACCCAAAGCCTTGTCCTAACCCGTACCCTAATCCTAAACATGAATCCTTATGAAATATAAAGACAAAGAAATGGAATTTGTCACAATTTCATATAATGATGGTAAGTAAAACAAGAATACCCTAGCAGCTTTAAGTGATTATTCAATTTCAATTTAAATACCTAATCTATTGTTCCATTGGTCATTAGGTATCTTCCATAAGAACCAACTTCATAATAATAATAATAATAATAATAATAATAATATTAATACTCAGTTTTAATATGGCGCTTATTACAATCACTAAGCGCTTCCAAACTTGAGAGATTATTTCCCCGGCTTAAGCTGTGCTGCCATTACGGCGCTCTAATGTCTGTATCTGTTAGTTTTAAGTAGGAAAAAAACACTTCTTTACTCTAATTTTGTGTCCATTATTTAACTATGATATTATATTTAATTCATGGAGGGGGGGGGGGGGGGGCTATTTTATGCCCACACCACAGAGAAGGGGGTTATTAAGAAGATAAATATAAATCATACCTTGAGATACCCTGAGACTGGTATTTTGAGTTCTGATCCAATCTCTAGATTGACCTTCCATGGCGTAGGTCTGACTGCCCTCTTCTCAAACATGGTCACTGCTGGGATCACCTCACTGTAAACAACCAAACATAGTCATTTCAAGCATCACATACACGACTTTGAGCAATGATATACTTGCTTCTATCAACTCGAGCAAAATAAAACAATTTACAAATTACTTGTATCTTTGTATCTACTGCACTAGAAGCATTTAGTCATCAACCGGTATATCAATTTCAAAGGGTAGTGTTTACGGGCAAAGTACTTTGTGACATATTGACAACAAACCAAAGATTCAGTATCTAATAACCCTATTACAGCTTGGACCTATAAAATTTTCAAAGAAAATGATTCTTTTGATGTTAGCCATGGAACATCAGTCTGATGATGCCTGCAGTGGTGATAAGGCAAAAGTCTCACAGGTAAAACAATCTTTTTGATTGTGAAACTATGAACATTCAATCTATAGAACCATGCTCAATATTCCAGTTAACCCTTTCTGTTGATAAAATGCATTCTTTGGAAACAAGAACGGATTCAACGAGTATCAAAAGACTCACTCGAATGAATAGATGCATCCGTTCACTTCTTCCACAATGTTCATAACCAGCCTCTCTCCAGCCATCTGTTGTGGGGTCTTCACCTTTCGTGGTGGCCCACGACCTCGGCTGGTGGACGGCTGATCACGGGCATCATCGCCATTGCCACCACCATCTGTGTTGTCAAATGGAAGTCCTCTGCAATGTAGGAAATGAATTGAATGAATTTGATCTAAGTACCCAGATGTCATAATATCGTAGTATGAATGTAGGTCTCAAGAAGTCTCTTTATATAGATTTTCATTTTTGAACCTGTGCTGTAGGCATAATGATCTTAAGACAGGGAGCTTTTGTTTTTTAACCCACCATCATTTTACTCTATCCACATTGGTCAACTACATTAACATAGAGATATCACTGTTTATCAACTTGTAAATGATGGTCATTTAACAATGAGCATGTGTTGTTTATTATCATTTTCCTTTTAGAATAATACTAATTTTAAGCATTACTTTACTGGAGCTATGTTTAAATGTATTTTATGATATAATATCCATTTTGAATAGAGGAAGAAAATTAAAATGATTCTACTTCAGGAGAAACCTGGAATGAATTAATGCTTAGAGCATACATATTTTGCTGAAATAAGAGCTTAGAGCCTACATCATGTTAACTTCCGTCTTCATGGCTTTGAGGCTATGTGTCACATTCTGAAGCTTGTCGTCTGCAAACTCTCCTCCCAGATCAGAGAAGAGGATGATGCGATTCTTTGTGAACTTTGATGCCTTCTCGGAAGTTGCATCGTGGATGAGGTCCATTGCAACGATAAGAGCATCAACAACTGACATTACAAAAGTTATATAAGTCAAAGATCATGACTAGATTATTTTTTGTTTACCGGTATTCATTTTGTTACAGAATCGTAATGATTTGTACACAATAAAGAGCTTGATACAGGACTAAGTAAGCCCCACTTCACTTTTAGACCAAATAAATATAATTTCTTGTTTCCCGTCCCCCTCCTCCTCCCTTTTTTGTCCAGCTGACCTCAATTTATTTTTTCTTGTTGCTTTTAGACATTTTTGTTCTGGAAAAACATAGATATAACAATCTAATCTATCTGAGGACAGCAGCTAGACCATGAGGTTGACAAAATGAATATAATGCAACTTCACCTTGTTTACAGCCTCTGTAGTGGATGTAATAAGGAAAATAAATTGAATTAACAATATTTCTCTTGAAATTGACCCAATAGCATTATAAATTATGAATTAAAATGGAACCCCTCCACTATATATATGTTAAGAAAAATGGACTTATGAAAACAGGTCAATGTAGATGTAGGGCAACATTGCTTTGACAAGGATACAGTCTCCTGACTCTGTGCTTGCTTGGATGTTGCTCCTGATGTGTTGGATAAGATCAAGATCAGCCAATCTGAAGGGCCTTTCCACTGTGATGTTATCATAGTCCATCTTGTTGGCTGATCCAGGAGTGCCAAACAGGATCAGGGCAATCTCATCTTTAGACTCGGCAAACACCTACGGCAAAGTGAAACAAAAATTAGTGTTACTTGGCATGAACTGATAATTATGTGTTTAATGTCTTGGTTAATGGCACTATTCATAATAACCATAGCAGTCAGAAATTATGCTAATGAATCTATCCCCAAATGAATTTGATTTTTTTTTCAATGGGGGGGGGGGGGTAAAGTAAAATAAAAATAATTATCAAGACTAGTCAACATATTAAGACTTAGTTGGATTATGTATAAATCTATCATAACATGCATTTATAAATAAAAAATACACATTTTGTTTTATTTGATATCTATATCCTCTTTGAATTAAAATATGTTTCTTTCTCTTGTCAATCTTTGTGCCATATCACCTTGGAGTAACAAAGAATATGTATTAATAACTAAACAATTGTTGCAAATTTTTAATCTATTTCTGTCGAACTCAGATATTCAAAGTGTGCACAGGGTTTCTATTTCCCATAATGACACTCCAGCAAAGCATAGAGAGTCAATGCTAATGTGCATTGACCTCTAGCACTGCACTACGTGTTAATAGGCAGCATTTGAATACATGAATAGTCGATACACTCACAACATGCAAATGCACACAATTATGTCGATGCGGCTGGTCGGCAAAGTTGACAGTAGATTCACAAATTATTCTTCCTAACATCGGAAAGTTGAAAAAATTGTATTTTACTGCTATTTAGGTGTCATCAATTGTCACTAAAGTACCGATTTTGAGTGAAATTAGTTAAGTTTTGAACAGTGGTGTTTGAAATGTTGAGAATCAAAAGCCCAGCTTTTAATACACAGCCAGGATAGTAATGCACCTATGTGTGCATAATGATGGCTTACAGGCTTAGCATCACTCACTACACACTGCTTTATTTACCTTCCTCTGTAGAATCATGGTGATGACATCCCGTGCCGTCTCAAGGGTCGTACAGTTGCCAGGAGGAGCTTGGTTCATAGATGGCCCCACATCTAGAACAATTACAATGGCTTCCTGAAAGACATAAAGAGAGATAGGATTTATTCAGTTACACATGTACAATCAGTTTGCTGTGGGTTGGTGGGACAGGAATTGTAATTGATGCTTCTTCTTCTTCCGGTGTAAATACATTCCATTAATAGGTGGTAACTGGTATGTATTATCATACTGCTGTGTGAGTGCCAAGTGCTAAAATATTAACCATGTTAACAGTGGGTTTTAAAAGGTCTAGGCCTAGGGTCTACTAAAAACAAAGCCAGATCTAACAAAGCCCAACATTTAACACTTTACTCTTGAACCAGTGGGAGAAGATGCAGTCTACCAGGTCCCATGGATGTGAGTGCTCAGTGCCATTATCTGTTGGCAGCAGAAAAGATTGAAAATTGGTCTTTTAATAAAAACCGATTGTCAGCCACTCAACCTTCCCCGTGAAGCCAGACGCACAACGGTTTGCTTAGCCATGGTTCTAATCGCGCAATGTCATGCCTGGCCTCGTTCAGGGACGCATGCGCACATCTAGTAACTAGAAAGTAATTTATTTGATAACAATAACACAAAATTATTTGACATTTTTTATATCATCATGATCATCATTACATTGTTTAGTGTTTACAATGTTTTTATTCAGAATAAAACGCTTTAGCTATAGACCTACAATATTTCTACATAAGGTTAAGATGAGAGGAAATAAAAATATAAAAAAAGAATGAACGAAACATCAGATATATGAATACAACAACTTTCGATTTAGACCCCCTATGCAAAACTTGAAATATGATTGGACTTGGAGGACATAGATCTGCCGACTCTCCATGAGTGCGGAAGGCATCAACCTCAGGGCGCAAAATGACCACTGTCCGTACACTACGAGAATTCTTCATTACGAAGCGATTGATTAACAAATGAAGAATAAAGACATTCTTTAAGTTGAACGGCATAACAATGAGAATACATCAATACTTGCTCAGCTACTAACCTTTTCTTTGCTTCCCATGATACCAGTATTAGGCTAATCAGTTCATCCAATATTAATCAAAACCGAAATGTATCACTTCTTTTCAAAAGACCTCGCAAAACATAAATTCGCGGATTTGGCTCTGCTGTCATCAGCATGCAGATGCAGGCACTAGGTCACGTACGGTCACCTAAACGATGACAAAACATTCAGTGCTAACTGAACACACTGTTTGTTGTCCATAAAGTTTTGAGTATTTTCTTATTGCAGGGGCGGCGGAGCGACTTCGAAGGATGGGGGGGGGGGGGGGGGGAACCAACAAAAAGGGGCACTTTCTGGAAAAAGGGCACCTACAGAGGGAAATCTCAAAGTGACATTGGCATTAGTAAGACTTTGCAGTAGGGTGTGATGGTCTGAATAATTAGTGACTGAGCGAAGCAAACGAGGAAACAAATTAAAGATGTGTGAGTCTGCAGGGCGAAAAATTACATCTTATAAAGAGGAAAAAACCCAATCCTGATGGGGTTATAAGCACATTCTCATAACGGAAGATTGAAAGGACCCAGTTTTGATAAGTAACGTGACACTGTTTGTAAATGCGAGCGAGCTTATTTGGGGGGACGTGTAGTGATGAGAGGAAAAGGGAACATTTATCGAAATGGATAAGACACTTATTAGGGGCATGTGTCGAGGTACAAAGGGTTGTTATCAGGGGTGAAAATGTGGCACTTCTTATTTACACCTGAAAAGAGGCACTCACCAGGGATTTTAAAAAAGGCACGTGTGTGAATAGGAAATGTGCATTTTCGACGGAAAGGGGCACCCATCATATTTTGATAGGGGCATTTATAGGAGGTGAAGATGGGCACTTTTGAAAAGGGTGACAGGTCCCTTATTTGAAAGGAAAAGGGGCACGAATCATTGTTAAAACGAAAATCATTAGAGGTGAAAAGGGGCACTGGACATAAGGGGCGCTTATGAGAATGACAAATGGGCTTTTATAATAAAGGAAAATTTGCATTTTTTGGAAGAAAAGGGGGCACCAATTATATTTTAATAGGGGCATTTATCGTAGGTGAACGGAAGCTTTTATGGGAAGGGGGAAGTGGCTCTTATTAAAAAGAAAAAGAGGCACTTACATGTATATTAGAAAGGAAATTGTGTATGTGTCAAAATTAAAGGGGCAGTCATTAAAGGTGAACAGAGGCACTCATCAGAGAAGCAAAGAACACTTATCAGAATGTGAAGGGGCATTTTTCATAGGCTGAAAGGGACATTTAGTTAGAAAGGAACCCCGGAAAAGGGCACTTATTAGAAAGGAGAAGGGGGCACGTTTGAAAATTAAAGGTGCGCTCATCTGAGTAAAAATGTGAAGTTATTAAAATGGAGAGGAGCACTTCTTACAAAAGGAAAAGGGGCACTTGTCAAAGTAAAAGGGACACTTCTCATTTGAAAAAAGGCACTTACTAGATATTAAAAAGGCACTTAGGAGAATGAAAAATGGACACATACTGCAAAGAAAAATGGGAAACTTGTCGAATGAAAAGGGGCACGTGTCAAAATAAAAGGGGCAGTTATCAGTGGTGAAAAGGGGAAGAGGCACTTTTACAAAGTAATTGGGACACTTTTCAAAGTCAAATGGGCACTCTCCTATGTAAAAAGGGGCATTTCTTACAAAGTTAAAGGGCACTTTCCTATGTAAAAAGGGGCACTTTTGGGTTTACTGAAAAAGTGGGGGTCCTGTGCCCCCTGCCCCCTCCATGGAGCGCCGCCTCTGTGTGATTGTGACAATATGATCTATTCTGGATAGATAAAGTACACATCTACAAAGTTACAGAGCGTGATCATTAGAGTTCTGAGAAGGTATAAACTTTATCTATCAAGCACAAACCTTTGTCACCATTAGTTTACGAAATGAGGTAATAATAGAATATTTCAACCATATGGGCAACAGTGTAGTCACTGCCGTAGGCTATCCCGAGATAAAGAGCAACGATTCTTTTGCAAGGCGTTGACTGTTTATGATACGCAAAATGTTCTCATTTTTTAAAGAAGATTGACGGATACGGGTACCTGCCTGGATGAGGACCCACCGTATACCTTTAAAGATAATGAATGAAATCGAAGTATAAGAAGATGAAGAAGAAAAAATACCAAGAAAATATTATTTAGGGAGCTTAGGGAAGGGATTCCCTTAGTAAAATGAACAAAAATGCATTCCATTATGAGCCACCCTGATGATATTTGAAACTTAAAATCCTTTGTAGTTGTAAGCTCGTTGTGTACAAAATGTATTTTTTTCTTCATTTTGTTTTTATTTTAAAAGTTCGAGAAAGTATAGGGAGGCCATTTTTTTAAGCGTTACGGTCGCATGGGGGGGGGGGGGGCACGTTTCCCTGAAACAAAAAAAACAAAATCGAATGACGAATAGGCAAAGAAAGTTACTAGAGATAGAAAGAGGGATAGAGAAATAAAAATAGAGTAGATGAAACAAATTGAAGAATGAGAAGAATAAGGACCGAAGGGGGGGGGGGGGGGGGAGAAGGAGAAAGAAAGAAAGAAAAGAATGAGAAGAATAAGAACCGAAGGGGGGAGGAGAAGGAGAAAGAAAAAAAGATAGGGAAAATGACATAGAAGGTAATACAATCTTTTCCCACATCCCTTCATTTGACCCTCCAACAACTCATGTCTGGGGCACCCCACGATTATGTCCCTCTAGTGCCGGATCCACACTAAAAACAGGGGAATTAGACGAAGATTAACACCAACAATAACAACAACAATAATGATAGCAATGAAAATGGTAATAATGATAATAATAATAATAACAATAATAATAATAATAATAATAATAATAATAATTACGTCAATGATGATGATAATAATAACAAAAATGATAATACCAATAGTATTAATGATGATGATGTTTTGTAGTTTCTCATTTTAGAACTCTATTCAAAAGTTACATTATTGAAACAATCCCTGATTGAGTAGACCCCTTTCTTATCTTTCTCATTTTGATCTCTTCCTTTTCTTCTCTTTCTCATTCCCAATCCCACCTCTTCTCACTTTTGTGTATTGCTCTTGTATGTTTGTGTGTGATTGTGGGCGCATATACGTTGGTGATACCTGCTGATAGTTAATGGTCGGTCTCTGTTTTCTTCTTCTTCGAAATGTACGTATATATGCCTAGTTTAGTTGTATTTATTTTTCAATTTAATTTGATAGTGTGTTTACCTTAGGGGCCTAATGTACAAGAACAAGTTGCTTCTTACAGGACCTGGCCGTTTATCTGTATTTATGACTTGTAGTGCCCTTTTTATGATGCCAAATGAAAGAGAATGAAAGGGAGAGAGAAAGAGAGATTTAACAGGGGTGTTGTGGTCTAACGGATAAGTTATTAGACCGTGATAAGGTAGACAGTCCTATACAGGTTCAAATCCCATTCTTCGTCCTTTGCAATACTCAACCCGGATGAGGTAAATGGATACATGGCGAGCTACCCATATCTTGTCACCATGGCAATGATACTTGTATAGACAGATTTGCGACGGTTAACATGAAAACGATGATCCTCCTATGAACTACATAATAGGGACTGTGTCCATTCGCACTAAATGATTAAGATATGGCATAGAAAGAAAGTGGCATTTCGGATTTGGAGAAAGTTGCTAATAAAGTTATAAAATATATATGTTGAAAATATATATTCATGAATATCAGATTTGGGGAAATATAACGAACGGTTAAATGTTACAAGAGACAAGTGTCCGGAGAGAGATGTTCGCACAGTTAAGTATCCTGAGAAGTGATAGATCACCAGTCTGCCACTTCACGGGCTCCGAGCTACAGTAAAGGGTCCGGCCAAAGATCGATGATAACATACGTAAGCAAAGGAACACAATTGGGTACCGGGTATTCAATCGAGTATGTCAATCGGCCTATGACGATTAGGAGGCCCATTGTGAAAAGCTTCCATGGGGACAAATACAGTGTGTTATTACGAATTGTTTGTAAACTGTTCACTGACAAGCGCAAAGTAGAGTTTAGAGGATAATGTAAGAAACATAGTCGGATATTTCGAATAGAAAATCATATTTACTATGGAGAATGGGTAAGAAGCGAAGCGATGTAGTATTACCAGAAGGAAAATTTTGTCGAAGTTTTCGTTGAGAAGAGACATGGAGTTGCTCAACCCTTCGCTGAAACACCCCGTGGCCTACCATGACCGATACTATGAGAGTGACAGCGGGTTTTCAGCGGACGACTACAGTTCTGTGGACCCTGTTGCGGCGGCATCATCAGAGATCACCTCTGTAACATCCAGAGCGTCCAAGAACAAGAGCGTCCTCAAGTTAATCACGCGAGATGATGGGACAGTAATCACTTTGGACGAGAATGCAGTGCTTGCTGATAACGTCCACGATCATGGGATCGAGGATGATGCCGGTGACGGCGAGGAGTTGGACGTCGACCGTCGGAATCCCCTGGTCATTTCCTTCAAAGAGGACGACCAGGTCCAGGATGCAAGAACTCGTAAAGGACAGAAGCAGTCTATTCATTTTTTGACTCGACGAGTCAAAGCTTCCTGGCTGGACAACACTTACCAAAAGGCCATTGCCCGGGCCAGAGCACGACTTGCCGAGGGCAACTGGCCCCAGTACCCTGAGGAGTGGAGATTGCCTCACGCTCCTGTACCGGCTCGACCTGACTTTACAAGAACTGGTCCTATAACCTCACTCAAAGGTGGTTACCTTGAGGCGAAGAGAAATAGGAAAGAGCGTAGAAAAAGGAGCGGGACTTTTCCAAGAACTAAATCCGTAAGTTATCATTCCTTTTATCATTTTTATATTCAATGAGTTTTTACATTCTCTCATCCTATTTGCTATTCTTCTGAATGATTAAGTAAAGAAGTATATGATCTAGGGAACGAAAGGGAATCTACGATTTGCAGATCATTGATTCATCCAAATGGAGTACATTCAATCTTTTTGAAATATTTCTGAAAAGGTAATATTCATTCAAAAGTATTTTCTGAATCTTACCCCAATATTGAAATTAGATTAAAAGATCGCATCAATTTCAATTCCTGCATTAAAGAAAAACGAAATCAAAACTATTATCCCTAGTAGGTAATTCTACTGGAAAGGCAATTTTTAATAATGCTTTCACCATCATGGACAATGTTGGAACCATTGAAACATGAATATGATCAACAATTCTATGTATTTCACAAAGAATTCTGCATCAGAATTGGTTTTCAGAATTTTATAATGTTAAGTTTTTTTCTTTTTGGGATACATTGCCAGGGTAAAATCACATGTTTTAATGGCAAGAGAGTACATGGAGTATCACATTATTTTATGATAATTGAACACAAACTTTACAATTGAATGCAATGTACATGTACCACAACAATGCGGCATAATATAATTATGGAGTTGTAAGGAATCCGAATGCTTTAATGATGAGGAGAAATATTTTCAAATATTTGTAATTAAGTACGGGAGCACAACGATGAACAATTTAATACACAGCAATGCTATTTTCAAAGATTAAAATTTCTTACTAATTAGAATATTGAATATTTTATTTGGTATTAACATGGTATCAAAGTGTTACAACCATTATTATTGATAAGAAATATTAAAAAACACGTGGCACATATAACAATGTCTGTTGGCCCATTTTCATGCTTTTTGGCATGAGTTGTTCTCGTTGTTGTTTAATAAAGATTTCATTCTTATAGGAATAATAATACAATCAAGCATAGCGACGAACTCAAGATATCATCCAGGCGGGATAGAGGTAATAGGAAAACTTTACTATAATATATAATTCTGAACCATAATCTAAACACGGTATAGCAGTATGATTAATAGGTAATACTTTTATTCTTTTCATGACTAGATAGATTGATATTTTAATTATGTATCACAATTTATGATAAACAAATATCTATTTTACAAGCGTGAAAAAAAGAAAATCACTGTCCGACTATTATGCAAGATGGCTATAGTCACTAACTAAGGCAGCTACCAAAAGATAACTTAGGGTTATTGAAAACGAATAGAGCGTATCTATCTTTTACAAATACTGATAAATAAATAAAACATTTACCCCCCGTCGGGTTCATATTTCAAATTGAACAATGGACATTATCAGGAGATCACATGCAGGGGGTGAAGTTTAAACCCCTGAGTCCAATTGAACATTATCAATGAACTATACAATCATGATTACAGGGATGCCCTATATACTAGAATTCTGTGAAGACAATACGAAAGTTGTGTAATTCTGCATGACTATATTTTCCAACTGGTTGAAAGCGATTAAACAAATTCATCCAATTAAAAGATAATCTTTTACACATGTTAAAAGAGAAATTTGTTCTTGTTTAACTTTCGTCGTTTTGTGATGCCTCAACGAGACCGACGTAAGACCAACATCAGAGGGACAACGGACCGAAAAAAGACCGAACATTTCATAACTTTATCATACCCCAAATTGCCAAGAATCGGTCTTTTCTCTCTCGATGTGACTGATGTATTAGTGTATTTTGTAAACGCATGTATTTAGGCGGAAAATACCGAAGTTATGAAATGTTATGGAATGTTATAAAAAGGTTTTGAAAGGGTGTACATTACACGTGCATGTGTTCATTATACATCGGCCCTCAATTTCTCAAACAGTTGTCATAGCCATGATAGTTCACGTTTCAACTTTTAAATATAACGCTATCATTTTAGGGAAAAAGGGGACTGCTCCTTGCAGTGACAAAGGCTTCCGTCTTTGATTGTTCAATCAATATTCGTCGTTCGATGTAACAAACAACAACATTATGTAAAAGAAAGGCTTACAAAATTAAAGAACAAGCCGGAGTTTTAAATTGTATGACAAATTGACTAAACGTCTAATTTAAAAAAAGGGTATAAGCTTGAGAGTTAGGCTTGGCTAGTGTTGGTACTGATATAAGTTGATTAATGATTAGCCGAGATATACGTTGACGTATAGAATCCCAAAGTGAATTGTGCTCATCAAAATACTCTTAAGCTCAAGACGTATACTTTCCTGTTTCGACATGGAATTATTTAAACGTTGAATATTCTACCTATTATCACTTTCCCAAATGCACGTTTGAAAGGTGTAAGTTGAGATCTTTACAAACACATATATATATATATATATTTGTTGTTGTTGTTATTTCTGCATTTTTCCAAATATAATATAACTGAATAACAAAGAACATATACATGTAAGGTATAATACAACATATATATACAATAATTTTGTCATGTCAAAATGTTTTTTTAAAACATAATATATGTACATAATAACAACGAAGTAATATTTCCATGACATATTATCATACATTTAAAGTATTATCCTAACTATCAGTTGAAAAGGAGCAGGAGACCGCAATCATAAGCGATGCTTGACTAGGATGGCGGCCTCAATTAAAAAAAAAATTGGATTAAATGTTTGGTATCAGCATTGGTCAGTTTCACATAATCTTCAACAGGTGTTCATGGTTAAAAGACAAAGAAAGTGATATATTATTATGATTATGGGAGTTATGAACACCACGTGGGCTTTAAGTCTAACAATTACAGAAAAGATTCACAAGGTTTCTATTTACTCTTTTTGTCTATTTTATATGGTTTCCAGGGCCATCCCTTTTATATTCTCACAATAATCTCTCCTACTTTAAATCCGATTCACTGCATGACTCGAGCTACTGTCGCCCAACACCAGACCCACTCTCTATTCATAAGTATGGCTTCTCAATTCTCTTGTATCAATAAATGGGACAATTCTCAAGAACTCTCCAATGTAGGATCTTCTGTGAATCTTTTATGTACTTTTAGTGTACTTTTAGGATTAGATGTTTGTTCCCTTTTATCTCTCTATTCACATATATCGTCCAAATCGTGCTATAATACTTTTCCAAGAGGCTACGAAGTATTTTATATGCTCCTCATCTTTATGCGTTTACAGCGTTCTTCCTTTTACTATCGCCGTTCTGCCTGCTTTAATACGGGATGTAAGTTTAACCCGATCCGATTCTTTTATATATATTCTTAAACTCCACTTAATCCCTTATTTCGTTGAGACACTGAATACAATTAAAGGCAATTCGTGAAAGCACAACGGAGTGTGTAGTTTTCTTCAATTCAATTTATTTCCGTTAATTTCTGTTCCCGAACTGTGCAATGATTTTAGTGAAATATTATTTTAACGTCCATTTCAGTTGAAGGCAAGCCGGTTCTAGACTGCATGAAATACAGATTACAAGAAACGTGCAATGTAAAATTATGAGTATAGCATAGAGGGGAATCAGGATTTGAACATATAATTTGTAAGCTGAATTCATCCACTGTATTATGACCCCGTTTTTAAATGGAAACAATTGATTGTTAAGTTATTTAATCTTTGAGATCTGGTTGGCAAATATTCCTACATGTCTCCTGCAAGAAATCTGATAACGAGCGTCACTAATTAAACACAGATAAGAGGACTACATGTTTACATTCGGGTTGTCTCCATGCCAACGATCTTTTTTTTTTTCTCGTTTGACGAAATCTTTGAACAAAAAGATACACTTTGCTCTTAATTTAGAATAACAAAAACGATATGTTTTGCATTACTATTGCGTTTATATTTCTGATAGATGAAAACAGAAGAATGTTAGGTTAGATAAACAAATTTACTCTAACAACTAAAATGTTAAATCACCATTTAAAAGGGCCGAGGAATGACCACCTTTTCAACATGCTGGATCGAACTATATTATAAAGGTCCTTCATATTTTTAGATTTTAGATATTTATCATTATAATTATATAAAACTTTATAATAATGATACCGTCCTAGCTTTCCCACAATGATCCTATGCCATGAAAACCTCTTATACGTGATGTATCATCGGAATTTATCAACTTCATAGTATCCTGATTAATTCCCATACTTTTTTGTGTTTTGTTTCGTGTTTGTGTGATGATTAGTAGCGGTTCTATGTTTACAATATTTTTTCCTTTTGTTTAGTTTTTTGTTTTTTTTTTGTTGTTGTTGTGGGGGGGGGGGGGTCTTTTTTTTTTTAGGTTGTTTGTTGTTGTTGTTATTATTGTTGTTGTTGTTGTGCGTGTATTTTTTTTTGGGGGGGGGGGGGGCATTCCGCCATTATTTTACGCCTCAACACAAGCTCCCCCGACAGTTATTCTTCTAGAACCGCTCCTGATGATTATTTTCTCTTTGTCTTTTTGCAAATTGCGTCTCTCCGTTTCTTGGTATGGGAGTGCGATTCCATCGCTTTTCTCTATCATGTCATCCTTTTATTCAGGGCTTTCTCATTAGTGTATGTTCGCATGATCGCATCCTTCGTTACCATGTTAGTCTCTCTCCTCCATCAACTCATTTCTCTACTTGTTTTCGTCACATCTTTCCAGCACGTTCCCATTCTCTCGGCATTCTAATCAATAAAAAACTTGTCATCAAAATGTTCCTTAGCACCGAAACAATACAAGCGTCCACCTTTCTCGTTTTATCTAACTATTGATCCCGTCACTTCAACTATTTATAAGCGCCTAAGGGCAATTTGCCACAGCGATCCCAAACAATACAATCCGTTACCTTATAGAGTCTTATACTGCAACATACAAAACATGAACGATATTGATTTGGGATCGGAGAAATATAACCGCAATTAGTGTGGTTGTGGTGGTACTGGTAGACAGTCCTTGTCTGACTTGTTAATAGCCCCAGATCAAAGTGGATCAAGAACTTTTCATTTACTTCCTTGGCTCGAACGTGCATGTCATTAGAGTGAAAAAGGATGAAATTAAGTTTTGCAAAAATAAAGTCAGCAATCAAAGTGGAATGGGTTGTAAATTCGAGGAAACAAAAAGCGTGTATAACGAAAATGGTTATCAAGAAATAAATGAATCAATTTTGATATGATTCAAATTACAGTTCGAGATTTGCTCCGTTTTAACATTATATTCTAATCTCAACCTAATAAACGAGATTAGTAATCACTAAATTGATATAGCGCTTACATCGGTTCATGCATTATTACATTTACATGTCAGCATAATCATTGTTTCAGAAATATCTGTACTAAAAGAACACCTCATCTCATGTAGTCATGGTGCCCTATTTAATGACGATTCTTTGATAGTCCTTGAGTAAACAGCCAATACCTCTATGCTTATTAGCAAAACAAACCCTTAATTAGTAATCGAAGTCTAACTTTGCTAATTACTTTCGGCTTGGCCATTTTCTTTCATGCTTTACTGAGAGAGACAATGCAATTAATGCTTGATTGAATACAACATGGACGTGGCTGGCATTGATAATGTGGTTTTATCCACCGCAGTAAAATCGTTTTAAGGTCACAATCGCAAGTGAATAAAATAGTCAATTAATAGTAAACAAGTTTATTTATTGCCGTTTGATAGCTTCAAATCAAAGATTTACCCTAGCATGATAAGAGAGTCTATATAAAGTAGAAAAATGCGAACTGTTCATGTGTTTTTTAATGACAGAATGATTATCTTATTGAACGTAATAGTACAAACCTAACCCCTCGATAAAATATTTATTTCTTTCGTCATTCATCGATGATAGAACTATGCATGTTAAGGGGTTATAATAATGGTACGGACAGGGAAATAACCAAATGAACAGCAAGAACGCGTTTCAAGGAATCTATCAATAATTGTACCCATATGTCATTGTGCTTCTAGTTTTATTGTGTTTTTATTATTTGATCAACACCCCCGGAATCTTGGTACGAGATCCCCTGTAGCCTTCCCCCCATAAACGTATGACTTTAATCTCTATGATTTGAGAATGGATTTAAACAAAAAGTCTGTTCGAGAGAGACATTTTATATACCAACACCAGACTCAAATTTATAAGAAGATAGTATATTTCTTAGTATTATGCAACCTTAGTAAGTGTATTGCTTATTGCCAATGTAAAGAAAATACAACTGGAAATACTTGTTCATCTATTTTTTTTTTTTTTTACATAAGTCGAACAAGTAGGCCTATACTAAATATAATGAGTGGTTGTGGTTTGATATATAGGTGAAACTCGAAACTTTACTTTGCCAATACCGTGGAAAGGGTCATGCACTTCTCTCATTCAGCCTTGACTAATGATAATACGGATTGACATTGACTCAATACGGATTGACATTGACTCAATAAGATGGAATGCTATCCTAATCCGTAGGTCAAGCAAGTACATCTTCATGGTATTATATGACAGCCGACTCTGCTTCACACAAAATTGACACGGCCACGTTAATGCACGTTGCTCCGAACAAGGGGGCGGTACGACAAGCGTCGCGTTCCCCTTAGCAACGAGAATGGTACTCGTTTCTCGGTGCTTTCGGTTCGGTGAGCCGACATACTAATCATGCTCTGGTAACAAGCGCAACACGGTCTTTGTTCCGTCAGTGTTATGGGGTTAGGGTTTGGATTGTCTGGGGTTTAGATTAGGTTTAGGATTGTAGATGAGGTTTAATGTTAAGTTTACAGGTTGATTGGTTAAAGTCAGGAGTTCGATTAATGATGGAAATTAATCTCTGAGCATCGTCGCTAGAGCATGTGTCGCATGACGGTGGGCCATCAGGTCTTGAAAGTGATATGGGTAGCGAAGTCGTTGGCTGTTATCGAAATAATTATGGTAGCAGACTTTTCAAGAATAAACAATTCCAATTGGAAACATTGTTGTATGTGAGAAAATGTAATTAGATAATGTTGAGAAAAGAAAAAAAAAACAAGAATGTTTACGTTTTATCTTCGAACCCTATGGCGACGTGCAATGGAAGTTTGAATCTAGTCGATCAGTGGCCGAACAGCATTCTAATTTTTATAATTTTTTTTAATACTAATTTATGTAATTTCCTCTCCCGAAAGATAAAATTAAGTACCCGTTCCTTATAACTGTTGAATGTGCTTGAAATATTACTCTCCTTTTTTAATGACGATACCATTGTCGTGTTAATGGTGGACTAAAACGATCGTGCCTGTAGTTTCAGACATCGAAATTAAATTTTAAAGCCTTTCACAGTCATATCCCGTATTGTGTGTAGCAAATGAATATTGACAAGATGATTTCTTAACAGAAAGGAATTAATGAGTCCTAAGTCCGATCATCAGTTGAAAAAGATATGTATATTTTAGGAAAGCAAAAACATACGTCCCTGATTACGATCGAGAAGCAGGCACGATAATGAATTACTCGGAATTCCTTTATTGAAAAAGTTTGGTCCATTAGATGTCGAACAGTCCTTACAATAACGACCGTGAATTATCTAGAGATCAGTTTTATTGTGTATTTGAAGGCAAAATCAAGTAGCAAAGTGTCCTTTGAATTCGGGAGACAAAGTTCAGAATGATAGAACAAACAAGATATAGTGAGGTGATGATAATTTGTCATAATCTTGACTAATTTCGTGGAATATGAATTAATCAAACAAAGCTCAATAAACTGAAAACTAGAATAAGCAATTAAATCTTGGATTTTTTAAACAGCAAAGATATTGTGACATTGCACTTCAAGTTTTTAATATTTTGGCTCGTGTTAGAGGATAAATTCTTTAAAAAATAATGCTAAAGATGGAGGTGCGGTAAATACATTCACAATACCATTCTACAATTACCATTTTTTTCAATTTATGCGTCTTTACGAAAGACATTACGAAATCACGTGCCACATTAAAAAAATGTAAATATTTCTTCCTTTAACACCGATAAACGGTTTGATAAAATGAATAAGAGAGTCGATACCTGATAGCATGGAAGATATAATAAGATAAGATGTATTGGACTCTATCGACCCCCTTCAGGGATATGTGAGCACAACATATTTACAATACAATACAGAAAGATATATAACACAAAGTAAGATATGATAATAACATACACAGATATATACATTTTGATGTTTCTAAAACACAATATACATGAGCTAAAGACTAAGTATACACTATACAGTTTTAAGTTATAAGTCTAAAATATCACGTGGTTTGGTTTGTCTACCACTACGAGTAACTACAGTTTTAATAACAAAAATAGGACCATGCCTTTCAGCCTTAGAATCCAACGAAAAGAATTGTATTATGACTGTGAATGAATTTTACGATTTTTCTTAATTGTTTAACACTAGATCTATTAAACAATTTGCCCATGTACATGTGTAAAATGAAAATATGCTTTGCAGTCCACATTTTGTCAATGATTTTTCTCTCACCAACACCAGAGGGCGACATCGCACCAACTGCCTCACCTGTGAATATCAAGTACACATTCAACACCTCTTGTGTCTCTTGACATCGGTAAACAGTATGAACCCGCTAAAAGCTTTTAAATTGAAAACTAAGTCAAATGAAGTCCGACTTCATTCTGTTTAAAGTTTGATTTACTCTTAGGTCACTATTTACATTTCCTCTGTCTGAAGAAAGTGGATACATTGGCATGAATGGGTTAGGAGAGGCAGTACTTGAATGCTGAAGGAAAGGCTATTTTTTATAAGCAGGGTGATACTCGATGTATTTTATTTGTCATGAGTGCAACGTACGGTTGCGCCTAAATCTTCTAAAATGTCGTTTGGTGGAACATTAAGTGTGCCAACTTTGTCGTTTTTCGAATTTCAGTTTCCTATCGTGAAAACAATTTATCTGGTATGTAAATGCTATTAGGATGATCTGAATAGGCCATGAGGGAGAGATATGAGAGAGCGAGAGAGCGAGAGAGGGAGAGAGATATATATATATATATATATATATATATATATATATATATATATATATATATACAATTATACATGGGCCATTTTTAATCACAATAAATATTTTCAATTGTTACAATAAAATGTTTTCCAAGTTGATTACAAGGATTATCTTAACGAACGATGTCAAATATTTAACTCATGTGTATTGCGCGTTTATCATTGCATGTTTGTCTCATCTTATTCCAAAATGCACATTTTTTGTAGATGGAATTACACAATTACATTCATTTCACCTTTAAAAAATTGTGTTATTATTGTTATCAAAGCTATACAGGAATGCCGGTTGATTGCTAAATTTGTTTTTCCATTTCCCTTTTCCTTTATAATTATACAGGACGCGAAGTGTGCCGAAAAGCAAGCTACACTTCCACCTATTGATGCGTAAGTATACTCCCTTCCTTTATTTCACCTTGGCCTATACTCTCTGAAAGGACAAAATGAATACAAATTTAACCATAATCGGGTGAAAAATTACCCCAAACACACGCATATGTTTCTTATTTTTACCAAACTTCTTAAAGTCGTAACATACTTGAACAACGACTTAGTTTGTGCTCAGGGTATAGTTTTTATACCGATGATATACACGGACAATGTATAGTGTTCCACTCAATCAAGTGTAAATTTCTAACCGTCTGCTGGTAAACATGTCAGGAAAGTAACACGTCTTAAATTCTATATTTTCAAGTCCTTCCGAATAATTACGACGTTTGAAAACATTGTTTAAGCAAAGCTGAGAGGCAATCGATGTCACAGGGCATGAATTTGACACTTGTTAGTGTAAACGGACATGTTGTAGTGTTCCTTTGCATCCTCTCATGTTTGATATTTAATCATCTGTTTATAAACATGTCGGGAAATATAACACCTTTTAAATAAACTTAACAGCTTTCGGAATCATAAAAACTAAAGTAACTAACTGTTGCTGAAAAGAGAACACTATAGGGTAGTGCAGGCAGAGTGCAGGCAGGCAATCCGTTTTGTTTAATTGCCTCCGTACGAAACAGGTGCACGATTTGCTCACGCGCTGTGTATAGTGTCATTGTAGATTTGAACAATGTTTTAATTATTGACCAGAAGTTGAAGAAATCAATTTATCAGGCGACTTCGCCTGTCGGTAGGCAGGTGGGAATATTGCAATCCTGAGACACACAAACACGCAAAGATAAGCTTCAACACCCATTCACATCAGTCTGACAAAACTGAGAGGCGTTATAGCGATTCAATAATTAAATGTCATGACAACTGCATCCTACAGCACTAAACTCTAATTTTGTGGCAATTTTACGCGTTTTTGGAATTGTGCGAAGGTGCAAAGATTCTCGCCGATGGTGTTGTATATTTCAGAGGTTTTTCGCTTTAAACAGAGAATAAAATGATTGCCTTGAGAATTTGTATGTGTGATTACACCATTCATCTCGTGGATTCGGTATAATAATTTCCTTGAAGTTATCGCATCATCATGATAACTAACACAGAATGTAGTATGATCATTGCGAAAAGACAGTCGGGTATTGTTCTAGGATCACAATCGGCTTCTTTATCAGCATTGCACATCAATGAGGTTTTTTTTGTTACGGTGCACGAACACGAATTGATGGAGACTTAGGTTCAACCCCAAATCTAGAAGGAAGGATTCTTTTCATTGTTTTGGGCAATGTGCTAAGTACCCGGAAAATGACTGACAATTCACCACAAGATAATAATCCAAGGAAGAGTAGACGAAATGAACGATATTGCTGTCGTGCTTTTAATGCGTACATACGAAGAAGGGAATATTGGAGAAATCGCAAGGAACTCGAGCACTGGGAAAGGTATGGACACGGTATGGTGAGGCGATATTAACGCCCCCCATGTCCTCAATTAAGAAGAGCGTAACGCATACCATCTCGACAACATTAATACATTTCTGGATTACACATTAAAAAACCGAGTTGAGGAGAGAGTGGAGAAGAGAGAGAGGTAGAGAGAGAGAGAGAGAGAAAGAGATAAAAAGAGAAAGAAACAGAGAAAGGGAGAGAGATTAAGGTTGAGAAATAGTGAAATAAAAAGACAAAAACGAGAGCGATAATTTGGAAATTTAAGTTCGTAAATAATGATTCTGCAATACGGTGTTTCTTTATCAGCTATTTTTTCCTTTCACTGCATATGCATGCTAAAAAGAGAATATGCTTCCAATAGAAAAAATAACAATCATTGATCTACCCCTCTCAAATCTGCAGATTGTACGACAGTCTCTTCGCCAACTTATCTGCCAGCTACCCTTCTCACCTCTTAAGGAAACGATGGGAGGCCTCCGCGGCAGCGTCGTCGTCCTGGTCGACGTCGGTTTCGTCAGATCCGAACAGCACCGACTATCTTCCTTTCGTCGGTACTGCCCGTCTCCACCCCAAGGAACTCACCCCTACCGTTCGGCGGGATGACAGCTCCCAACCTCCAAAGTTCTGTTCCGGTTGTACAGCCGAGCTTGCTCATCAATCTGGTGTCAAGGTAAGAGCTTTATTAAGGTATTATTATTTTAATTGTTCGTTAACTTTGTTTCAAGATGATGAGATAAAATTTGAGATTTTTTGAAATCACGTTGTGTGGTTCATAATAAATGTTGCATTTTCTTTAAAAGAAGAAAGAAAGATCGACTAAGATTTGTGGTTGCGAGATACTGATAATGATACCGACCGTGACGCTTTTGATATATGTTTTATGGGAGTCTTCTTCTCAATCTTCTTTTGAATTGGGAAAAATTTAAAGGAAATCGAGGTCCATTGATGATCTAAAACATTTGGTTAGTAAATATATTTATTTTGAAATTACATGTAGCAAGAACAAATTGCAATAGAAAGATACTGTTAAAAACTACATATTTTGCTTATATGATATTGTGTGGTACATTGTGTATCTAAATGTGTTACTTTTTTATGTAATAATTACAGAATGATGTACAATATGTACATGAAACGGAAGCTGTGCAAGTTCACCTGTCTCACAGTCAATAGTTTTCGAAGAGATTCTTCACTTTCGTGTTTATACCACGCAAATCCTATCATACTTAAAGTGTTCGGAAATATTTCATAACTATGTTGATATCATTCAACTGATTTTGATCTCAATAGCGCATCGAGGGTCTTGTCATGAAAATGGATGCGAAAACATTGTTAAATATCATTAGAATCATTTTATTGATGTGATAGCATAGGCGAGAAAAGTCAATTCATTCATCTCTCACATTTCAGTATTTTTCACCTCATTTCTTCCGATCATTAGGCACCAATATTCATTTTTGACAATCCCGCGGATGACACGAATGTTGATCAAGGGGGCATCGAGCATGCGCAGTTGCTTCCACAAAATGGCCCCGCCCAACAACACGTTGCTACCACTCAAGTCTGCTATGGTTGCTCTCTCAGCAAAGTACCACAGTAAGTTTTGTCTATTAATTTACCAAATTGTACATTGTAGGTTCAAACAATTATTTTTACTCACAAAAGGTTATAACATTTCCTTTTAAGATAAACGAGTTTGTTTTCAATGTTTAAGATCGCCTTCTGTTTGTAAATTAAATCATCTATTCACAACTCATTTTTTCGGGGGAGGGGGCATCAGTGACTTTGAACGACACGCTTTTACCTGTACATGGGCAAAACACCAAAAAGTGGTTTAGTAACCCAGTATTAGGGCAGCTGTTTGGGAACCTGAATGTCCCGGGTTCAAAATGAAGTCTCAGTTTTCTAGTACCTTATTTAGTGCATTTAGTACTTTGGATATGACTTTGTCTTGATGTTATGTTTTTAATATTTCTCTTTCTTTAGTGACAAAGCTTTAATTTTGATTCATGAACACACTTTCGTCCTCTATTCAAAATAGTTCACAATTTGGCCGAATGTCGGCTTGTACGCATAAATGCAGTCAAGATTTCTAAACTATATTTATTTTATCTTTTTATTTCATTTCAGTGTCCATGTGACGAAGCCACGTCGTGTAGGTGGTGGTTACACCATGTTCCATCAAACCGCCGAGCCATACAGCGGACAAATCGTCAAAGATGGCGGTTCACCTCAACCATCATCGGGTATATCAGGTATACTTAATATGAAGATGGTGTTGGTTTTGGGCCTACTAGTACATGTAGTTTACATTTCATCTTTATAATCATGATCATAAATGACATTTATTGTGTATTTCCACTTGCTTAAAAGACGATTCCAAAGACTTTTAAGCTTTAAATATCTTTCCATATACTTTTGTTCATCAAATTAATTCAATCTATACACATGCATGAATATTCTTTTCTACATATTTTATTACGTCATCAAAGTCGAGTTGGTCATTCATTATCCCATAATCATCTATGAAACCTGTTTATTTCTATTCATTCCGTTTCATACATTGTGTGGACCCTTCTGATCTAAGGTGTCTGTCATTCAAACTTTTCCAGTTGGACTCGAACTAGTCTACTTTCTCTCTCTACAGGCAGAAAAACAAATCATTTTATTGTATCCTTCATCACTAGGTTCTTCACTCAAGTCTTTTTTTATTCAGAATACAATTCTTGCATATACACTCCCATTTTTCTCCATCCATAATCATCTCAAACGTTCCATCTCTCCCATCTTCCTCCTCTTCCTATCACCCATGCCACAAAATCACGTCTTTATTCCACCTAAAGCCGACATGTCTTCTAGCGATGATGACATCGAAAGCAACTACGATGCCGAGATCGACGAGGGAGAATGGGCGATGTTGAATTACATCAACGTAGCGAAACTGGAGCAGCCGATTCTCCCGCTCCCGTCGATCCCGCGGGAGAAACCGCCCCCGATCCCGCTGTCTATCATGGAGAAGATCAGGGCAGGAGACGTCAAGGGGGTCAGTTTGCATGAACGTAAGTGCACATAATAGTCAAGTTGCTGCGTTTTGCACACGAGGCGTTATTTGGTGACGTATTACTGCGTCAAAGACTTGCAAGAGTGTTTGACGCGTCATGCAAAAGGTTCCATCGTACTAGAAGATGATTGTTACATGAAGGGTGCAAAGTAACATGGCATTGAATTACTGAAATAATTGCCTAGCTTTAACATGTTCAAGGCATGCCTATAATTGCCTTCAAAGCCATGATTGGCGTTGGCAATGACGCAGTGGAAAAAACCTCTTGTTTACAATGGGTTTAGCATTCTGTGTTATTCACTGGCTTCTGACAAAATAGATGGAATAACCGTCAATTCGTCTTTCAAGAACACAAGTTTAAAACAGCGAGTGAGCTTTGCTAATTATTTTATAAGGTTAAGACATTTTTTAAGTGTTTGAACCTACTTTGTTTTAAAGAGCATGCCCGTGTTAACATTTTAGTCATATTTATTACAACACTAATGTGCACTGTGTGCATGAAATAATGACTTATTCACTGAACGAAAAATTCAGTAATAAGTAATTCAATCAAGAAATCAGTTTCTACTTCCACTTGGTAAATTGGCTGGATCTTCTTGGTATGATATAACGTATTATCACCTTACATTTTCACTCGACGACGTTGAGATAATGGTATTTCTACGTGTATGTTTAATCTTAAATAGCAAATTGTATTCTATGTGATCTCTTTTCCACTCAAACCATATTTACACATTTTACTTTCTTCCTCCCTACGAATTCATTGATCAGAACACTGCTACGCTTGTCGCGAAGGTAAGTGTTTTTTTTTTTTACGTCGTTTATTCTTTTTCTTTTACGTCGTAGTTTCAATTAGTTTCCCTACCGAAAATGATAAAGCAGGTCATATTGCATCGGATAAATGAAATGCAATAATGCGGTTTGATTAAATGTAAGAAATTGTCATTACTGGCAATAGCTTCGTACACTAATGTTATTAAACTTTATAGAGGTATTAGATGTCCATTTTGTATAAGTTGAATTGACTGCATGACAATTCTAAACATGATGTGAAAAAAATTTGCGTCTGATATTCATATACCATAGGATAAGATATAAAATAAGAATAGAAGACAAACTAATGACAAAAGGATAGGAAGAAGAGGTTAACGGAAAAAAGAGAAACTACCTATAAATAGCAACATAGTATATTTGTAAAGCGCTTAGAGACATTTGTAATAAGCGCTGTATAAAAATTAAATATTATTATTATTATTATTATTATTATTGAAATGTACACACCTTAAATGTGAAATAACGTTATTTTATTTTTGTTTCTCCTCCATTTTCCAATCATCAACCATCATTTCGCTACTCTGCATTATCATTCTTTGTTCATGACGTCATCACAGCTCTCAAACACTATTGGCCAGAATACTTCACCTTGAGAGACGAATCAGATGACTCCGGGGTTGCCACCCGTGTTGCTTCAGAAGGTCCATCCATACTTCTATTCATTTCATAATATTTCTCACTCATACTTTGGAAAACACCATATTTCTAGTACATTCTTCAAATCATTTATTAAATCATGTTTTTCCCTTCCCACCATGGTATTATTTTAATTTCTCTAAAAATATATCTAGTGCCCCTTCATATACATGTAAACCGTTTTGAAAACCTGTTTTGTCACACATGATGGTCAAAGTTATGTATATCATTCATTATCTTCTATAAATAAACAATTGTTTTCCTACATTTTTTCCTGTGATGTACTATTTACCGAACATGAATGATTATCTCACATATAGCATTACTTTTTGTTCTTATGATTACATTTTCTTCTTCTAACTTGCAAATGAAAAGGAGAGTCATTGATTCGTCTAAACGTATATTTGTTATCATCAAATGTCAGATCGATTTATAATTTTTTGCTTTGTTGTTTTTATAACACACGTTTTCAGTTTATTTTTGCAGTTCTACTATGTAAATCACAAGAAAGAGCTGCATAATATTTATTGATCCCCTTCCTAATAAAAAGTATATTTTACAATGGCATACAACAGTTATCAAGGTTATTTCAAGTAGACATTGATCTTTTCCCCAGAAATAATCGAGCACCATTGTCATAACGAACTTTGTATTTCTTTTGGTACTCAGCTCTTAAAGAAGAAGAGCGCCGCCAAGAGGAAAGAAAACGACAGTTAGAAGAAGCTCGAAAGTTGAGACTGGAAGAAGAGGTGATACGAAAAGAGGAGGAGGCGGAGAGGAGGAAGAATCTATACAAACGTAAGATATTAAGAGTATTCTAATTACTACAATTAAAATAATAATGATTCCAAAGGCTTTCCTTATCTACGTGACAAATACGGTACATTTTGATTAAATGTTTATGGCTCACACTATCGTTGACAATTTTTAATTTCATGATTTGTTTTATAAATCCGAAAATCTGTATAGCTTTTTTCAATAATGGTAATTATTTGGCAGGTAAGATACTGTCTACTCCAATTCATAAGGTTTTACCGACACCTATATGCATTTGTTTACAGGTTGTTTGACTAATTTTTGATGAACCATATTCTTATATTTCAGCTCCTAAAGCATTTCAGTTGAAGAAGACTGAGAAGAACGTGATTGAATCCAAGGATCCCTTCTCCTCAGATCGAAATCTAAACATTCCAAAAAGTGAAGGATTCAAACTGAAGAAAACTGAGAAACAGACGACGAAGTTTGCCGAGCACACCCGACAGGAAACCGAATGGCAAGAGCCTCGAAAATTCGAGTTGACGAAGACTGAACCGAAGACGACAAGCACGGTTTGGAAGCCACCGGAAAGACCCGAACGGCTCCGGCCGCTGACCCCACCTCCGCCACCGCCTGCACCGAAGGGAAAGAAACCCACGGTGCCTATTGAGCCGAAAAAGCGCGAACCTCCTCCGAAGAAGCCCGATCCTCCACCACCACCGCCGCCGAAACCTGTCGAAAAGCCGAAACCGGTCGAAAAGCCCAAACCTGTCGAAAAACCCAAAGAGCCTCCACCACGAAAAAGGTAAGAGCATACATCAAACAAGATATCAGCTTACACCTCTGTGGTTGCTGACAAATTGCTTTATTTCCTTTTCTTCTGTTTCCATAGTGTTCTTATGATAAATCGTTCAATTATATAATAATAATAATATATTTTTTTTTTAATATAGATATGACGATAGTCCATGCACATTTTGTTTAAAACGTGACCCGCTATCGTGGTTTATTTTCTCTTGTACAGTCTCAAGAGTCATTTTATCTCCCTTGTATTTCTTCAGGCTTCAATCTCATTTCTTCTCCCTCCTTTTCTCTAAGTGTATGTCTTTCTGTGGTCCCTCTTGATTTTTCTTGGTCTCTCAACTTATCGATTCTCGTTATTTGCTTTAAAAATATGTGTTCAGTCATTGTTATTAAAGTAGATTTTTCTTCTTAAAATAATATGGTGTAACAAAAAAAAAGCGAGCATTAATCGTTTCTCTACCTTTTGTATTGTTTTCTTTTAAAGAGTAAACGTGATGTTGCTACAAGTACTGTTGAAAGCGTGCATTTCATGTGATTGTTTTCATTTGTCAGTTGAACTACATTTTATTTCTAGTTTTCAGGTTGTACAAATTTGTTACCCAAATGCCGAAAAGGTTTTACTTTCTTCACTAAAAGCTTTTTTTTGTTGTTGTAAAAAATTCTTATCGCGTGTCACCCCAAAAGGTTTTTGATTTGTCGTTGTCTATTTCTTGTTTCTCAAAGAGGAATTTGTTGCCAGTCAAAACATTTTTCACAAGCATTGTTCATCCTGTGTAGAGTTAGTGATAATTAATACAGGTAGTATAATCATTCTCTTTCTTTCCAAATATACTTTTTATTTTGATTCATCACTGCATGTTCTTTCGGTCTATGTCTTATCCCTGTGTTTTGGACTTTCATTCTAAACAAAGCGAGCCCAAGCCAGAACCGAAACCAAAACCCGCACCAAAACCTATCGAAAAACCCATTAAAGAACTGGCCAAACCGAAGGAAGTCCCCAAACCTAAAGAACCTCCAAAAGAAAAAGTGCAACCGGAACCGAAACAGAAGCCACAGAAGAAAGAAGTAACAAAGAAAGTTGAACCGGTTAAGAAGGAACTACCGAAACCAGTTGAGAAACCGAAGAAAGAAGTGGAAGAACCTCCTAAAAAAGAGAAACCTGTCATCACAATAGAGGATCATGTGAAGGAAAAACCCAAACCGGTTGAAAAGGAGAAACCCAAACCGGTTGTAAAGGAGAAACCAAAGCCGGTTGTAAAGGAGAAACCAAAGCCGGTTGTTAAGGAGAAACCCACACCAATCGTGAAGGAGCAACCGAAGAAGGAAACTCGGCCAGTGTGAGTAGAATGGATCCACAACCTACCAACTCGCACTATACGCACGCACTGCATCGCACCCACACCACCCATATCTTCTAATACTGGAAACCCTGCAATACAAATATAACCGAAGCGACATTATATACTTTTCCCTTGCTTGTTTTATCATACATTTTGCTTCATTTTTTTTTGTGTGTATTCACTAATTAAACCTTTCATATTGAACGTCACAGTATTACCTTCCTAATATGTCATCTAATACCTCTCATGTGGTTTTCTTTTTTCCACGTAGCTGTGAAAAAATAAAACATTTATTCACAATTATAACATCATCATGCTTTTTTTTAAGCCTACATTTTGCCTCCGCACTATTATTATTTTGTAATCACATTTTGTCATAACCTCATCGGTATCTTTTGACGTGTTTATTTCACTGTCAAACAAAATGTATTTCACATACTCTATATCTAAATTATGTTATTTTCTAACTGCGTTTTTAAATGATGTTACTAAATATTTGCATTTTGAAAAAAGTCCCCTCCACTAGATAAAAACAAATGCAGGAGACACACAATATATGCTTTCTTTTAAAGATACCTTTAAAGATATTATCTAATATACAGTTTAAAAAAAAAATATATCATCAAGGAATCTCTTCTGCTAGAAAATGCTTAACCAATACCTGACCATATTTTTAAAACGGAATGTAATTTGGGACTAATACCGATAGGACAACTATAGAGTAGCCACGGTTGTTAATAGTAAAATATCTTCAAATTATTGTTATCCCATTAAAATCTGTGATTTGCAGGAGCTGGGAGCTGTTAGTTTGTCAATAAATCATTACAAGCAGCGGAAAAGTGATAATACTGACAACAACAAAAATGCTTGGTAATGGAGCTTAATTGTGTATGCCTTCTAAATTAAATAATATTTTGCTTCTTGCTGCCAATTAATGCTTTAAAGAAGAACGGGCTGCTTCTTTACAAAAGATTAAAGAGTGGTCACATGATAAAGTCACCTGATCACATTATCAATCTCAGCTCACCCATTTTTATAACGTTGCACATCACGTGATCTTGCTTATCTGGTCCATTGTGCACTTACAATCACATTCCTATATTCGTGTGATCATTGTTATTCTCGCAAGTGTGAGGTGTTTCTTATTTTTACCATTTTGATTAATTCAATTTCAAACCCATTTCTTGATATAAAAGAGTAAAATCTTATCATGTAGTGATACAATTCACAAGTTCGCCAGGTTTATTGTGACTGAATCATACCTTGGAGTAAAGGTTATTAAATCAAGCCTGAATGTATTGCAATCATATAATCATATTGTTTAATATGGGATATAACGACATTCTTATATTTAATCATATATATTTTTGTATCAATGTGTATGCTACTACCCATGGAAAGAATTTCCAAGCATATACTCAATGCTCAATAGATTACTACTTTCATTAAAAAAACAGTAACAAGAAGTTAATTCGACTTTAATGATAATATACAGATCTCATGACATGAAAGCTGAACCCACATTATATAACGATTTGTAAAAGAAGCTATTACATCTTTCCCTTGAAGATCCTTCTGTATCATTTTGTAAAGTTTGCACGAGATCTATATGTATGCTGAGATGACGTTCAATTCTATGTTAAGAAATACTAGTTTAGGGCCCTTCTGAATAGATGAATTCTCATAATCGCAATAACTAATTTCGTGTTTTATGTTCTGATTTCGCAGTAAGAAACAAGAGCCTCCAAAGAAACCAGTAGCAGGTGAGTTATTTGTTCTATATCTCTATTCGATCATGGAAGTTTGGCAGAACTGATATCCGTGTATGTTTGTCCTAAAAAAATAATTGTAAATTGTGCCCATGCTTAGAAAAGGGGCTTTCAACTTGATCTTTTGAAGTCCCCTTTTTTAAATGTTCTATTTTCTTGCAACCTTGTGAGTTATGATTTTGTTGATATTTTGCCTTTTTATGATATTCTATTTTCTAGTATTTGTAAGTTAATTGATCGTGATGAATTAGTTCTGAAGAGAGAAAGAGCGAGAAAGAGAGAGTGGGAGAGAGAGAGAGAGAGAGAGAAATATGGCAGCATAAGATCAGCAGAATCAAAATATCAAAATATCAATATGATTGACACTTCTTCTTCCAGCACCTCAACGGGATCCAAACCCACCACCAAAAGTGGCCATGCCTCCACCTCCCCCACGCGAACCCAGCCCCCCTCCACCAAAGGAGCCGACACCACCTCCTCTGAAAGAACCCACTCCGAAACCGCCGCCAAGAGACCCTGCTCCGCCGAAGCCAAAGAAAGGTACTGACATTTTTATTTCAATTCCGAAATTCATAAATACTGAGTATTATTCTAAAATGCTAATCGAGGCATTCTTTGAGTTGCTGTCTATTGTTCTTGATTTTCAATTTAGGTTAAAATTATGTAGAATTTGTATGATCATAGATGTATTGATAATCTGTTGCATTGAAATATATCTTCTTTTTTTTGTCTCATGTATTGTCTCATTTTTAAAGGTATAGACTAGTTTTGGAAATGCCCCCCCCCCCCTCTCTAAAAATGAAGTGGAAGCTATTATTATCAATCATGTGAAGGAATATGTTTGGACTAATACTTGATGATGCAAATTTAGCCGGGAGACTAAATTATCATATCTATCCGGACTGGATAGATATCGCGTAGTCCTCATCTTTCTGTTGACAGTGCTTGTAACTTTACCAGATTTCTTATCGTTTTGATGATTCCAGAACATTGCAGTATATACACCAATACTTATATGCTAGATGATCAACCTTTCGGATCGATTTCACAACGTTTCTTTCACAATGCAATCACATGACCAGAACTGGTCTTTACCTTTAAAAGAAATTCGAATTATCTTTTGATCTTTGCGGTATTAGTGTATCGTAGAATCTCTTTTATGGAGGGGGGGGGGGGCAGTCAATGATATGAAAGATCGCCTAATCTCGCTTAATATAATACATTGTTAAGTATATTCGCTGGTGCATGTTGTTAAAGAATTCAATACTTTCTGCGGTACAAAATGGAAGGTGCCGTTCTGAATTGTGAATCATTAGTATTTTATGATTGAAACTTCACGCACACTTCCAGAAACAAAACCTCCACCTGAGAGAAAGAAACCCCAGAAACAGAAAAAGAAAAGTAAAAAGAATCAGGAAGGTGAGTCGAGTATGGTGTATGATTAACTCAAGTTTGGAAACTAACCTATATACTGAACGTAAACACGGTAACGGGCTGTTTTCATTAACAAAAACTTCATACATTATATTACAAATATTTAAAGGGGGTTTGTTTTGATGGTAAGTAGAAAACAAAATCATTTTGTGAACGTTTAGCTACCATACAATATTAGTTTAGTAAAGCATTCTTATCAGACAGCGAAACGATGAATTCATTATTATGCAATACATTTATTTCGTACCTTTTACAGTTTGAGATGACAATTTGTAACCGATCCGTAAATTTTTTGATGAATTTTGATTGGCTAAATATTTGTGTGAAAACGAATCAGATACGGCCTAATCATTATATCAAGAGGGAAACTAATTTTTTGAATCCTAATTGTACATTATTTGGATGATGGTGGTTAATACTAGATGAGATTTCTTTTGAGCTTTGCTTTTTTTGGTGTAATTCCTCTAGTAGATTAGATTTAATTGACAGATGTTCCTCGATTTTATTTAAATATACATTTGATAATACTTTCATCAGGCCTTTGTTTACTTCATGATCCCCTTGCATATTAACCTAGCGTGTGACAATGGTTAATATTACTAAACTAAACTAATATTTTTGTGGCTAATGGACTTGAATTTGATAAAATAACAATTTAATCGTTTGAAAGTAGATAAATTTGTAATTTCAAATTATTTTCTCACGTAAAATAGGAACTGATATTGGTATTACTTGTCGTCCATTGTTTAGTTAAATCATGTAATCTATGTCTTAAAATGTCTAGGAAAGGAAAGGAATAAATTATGATTTCATTAAAGTTTGCATTAAACGCGGTACTGCACTACTTGTAGCTACTTGCGCCCTCTAAGCTAACAATGGCTTAGCGGTACTCGTTGGTCCACCATGATACCCTTTTTCTTATGTTAATTAAGAGCGGATTTGATGAGATAACCACCTGTCAGTGACCACGCATGGGGGTCTAATCCCTTATGGCCAAACTAGAGCAGACAGGCTTTAAAATTTTAAAAGATACCATTCATTGGATCACAGTATAGGGTAGCGCAGCGCCAGTTATTGAAGATGAATTATATTGCTATAGGGGAGCATTGCTATAAAACTGGAAGGATGTGTAAAAGGGCGTGTAATCACTCCCCATGTCTATACTTTTCTTCACACCCTTTTTTTTTGGGGGGGGGGGGGGTTGGGGGAGGGGGGTTGGCAAATGATCTTCAAGGTATATGTCACTGTCAGATCACATGCTATTTGATTCTTTAAACCATATTATCGTCAATATCTTTCTTTCTTTTCAGAAAAATCAAGGAAGGAATATGTCAAGATACCCATTATACCATATAAGTCACCAGGTAAATATAATACAAGATTTTTTTCTGGAAATCACTGCTGCATTGAAGTGCCAGAGTTGTCAGCACCTGGCAGATACCGGAAGTTTAATAAAAACATCAATATATTTATCGTGTTTACACACGTTCTCTTATCTCTGGTTATGTTGCTGGTTATATTTGACTGCTGTTGTATTACTATAATTATAATTGGACCAAGGTAGGTCAAATCACTTCACGCCAATGTGGCTGACAAAGCGTCTCGTTTTTTTTTTTTTTTTTTTTTTTTAGTGTGTATTCGGTATTCCGAACGAGGAAAAATAATGTCGAATAGACTCTGAAATAAAACCAAGGCAACTAAAGCAATTGTCACGTGGTCAAATCACTGGACACAATTTTCTTAATAACAGTTTCTAACAGAAAACCATAAGAAAGAATAAAGGATTATCTAAGTATATCAACTATGATTATTTTTTTTCTTTCTACAGAAAAAGATCCAGCACCTCCACCGAAACAAGACCCCCTCCCACCGCCTATTCCTGACCCACCTGTTGAACCCATACAGAAAGGTGTTCCTGCCTCTGAACCGGAACAAGTTAAGCCTCTCTCCCTTCAATCCAAAGACAAAGGTACATACTTTTACATACTTTTTTACTTCATCTTGGTGAGGGAAATATATCCATGTGTAGATGAACTATCTCTGGCATTTATATAGAACTGATATGCATATTTAAGCTAGATTTGTAAATAATAAAATAATGATAATTATGTGTAAAGTACTCGTAACAAACATTTTTAAAGATGATCCAAGCAACAAATTTGCTTTAGATAAGTTATGAAATATGACTATTTTAAAATCATAAAGCATTCAATGGGCCAAGAACTTGGAAAGCTATTACTCTTTTGAACATATAGTGTAGGTACAAATTATGTTTTATATATCGGTAAATCGAGCATGGGTTTAAAAAGAGAAGTTCTGAAATGCAGTGAAGGTGATCAGTAAATATAATTTCTTATTGACATAATTATTAGTAGCTGTGAAGATATTGAGTATAGAAAATCTGAAGTGCTAAGTTGTTCAAACAAAGCCGCCAATCCCCCAAACAAAACAAATAAAGAGAGAGAGAGAGGGAGAGAGAAAGAAAGAGTTGATATATTTCAAGTATAGCATCAAGAACCTGTGGTAGAAAACAAATCGGATTGGCTTTAGCTCAAAGGAGCTCATCCACCAGAAAATCCACGTTTCCATGGTTACAAGAGAAGCACTCTTTCCTTTCACAGTAGAAGGACACGGCAGAGCGAGCATGAACCGGGAGAAGAGATTAGTTGACTTAATCCTCTACGCTGGCCAATCAGTACAATCAAAGGGATCTAATGAAAGAAAGCACTAAGACAAAGAGGCGCTGGTTTTCTTCAATGTATTCGTTATGTATTATAAAGAGTCTCTGCATGATATTACAACCATGATAGAGTAATTTAGTCTATAGCGGCTTCGATGTTTAATGAAGGATGTGACCGAACAGATCTTCTTTCAGAAATAGAAGCAGAGTTGTATGGATTCCCGTGGGTGCCGGTATTAAATGAGAAAAGCTTTGTTAGGGTTTCTACAAATCTCATTCAGCTGCTAAGGACTCCTTTTTGTCACTTTACATGTCGTTTTAGTAGCCCAATAAGTGCACAAAATCACTGGATTGCCATCGTGAATAAGCGAATCTGTAATCAAGTCAGTGTTGCATGTATGTTTCTACCTCATACTTATCTTGATAGTGGCTCAAAAATATGTTATCCATATGCACGGATACTTCTAACCTGGAAAATCATTCCGCAATCTGTTTTAGATAATTTAATAATTCAAAGCAATTTGTCATGAACAGGATTTTAGCTCGAAAATTGACATGGAAAATGGAATTGCTAATCAGCATTGTGCAAATTGTGAAGTGAGAAGAGCATTAATATTATCGTGAAAGACAATCCGATTGGAACATAGAGATAGGAGGATGGAGGTTCAAACGGCCAAGAAATATATAAGTCGTTTAGTATGAAACAAAAGTTATTATATTGGCGGTAAGCTGTGGTTGAACACCTAAGCTAAAGATTTAAGCTATGACTTTGCTTGGGTTTGAAGTTAAACAAGAGTAGCCAAGCCTTACATCCAAACCGACTCCACTCCGATTTCAAATCGTCTTGGCCGTTCAAGGCAATTATTTTTGTTGGTGTTCGCTCTGGTGTCTGTCTATTATTTCGGTCTCGTTGTATGACAGGGATATTAGGATTACAAAAGTTCGGCTGCATGAGAAGGAATAAGAAGAAGGTGCACACAACCAGATTTGATTAAGAAGTGGTATAAAATTCAGTCAGTCCAAGTGTTATGAGTTATATTTTCTTCTTCTGCAGAGCCTAAAGCGAAGGGCAATCCTCCGAAGAAGACCCGACGAGCCAAAGTTCCAAAGAGGGTGAGGAAAGAGAGTAAACCCCTCGGAGTGGCCGCGCCTATGCCAGTCAGGGTAAGTTATCCTTTATTCACTGCCATTCTCGATGTCCTTTTCTGTTTCCAACCTCGAAAGACGTTCACTGTGTTTCTCCTTATAAATATAATTCAACATTTAAGATTTTTAATAATCATATATTGTTCAGCTCAATTTGTTTATAAGCTTCACCTTTTGATGCGCGCTTGGAATGATTGATATAAAAGCTATCTTTAATATAAGATGAATATGTATCACCTTAAAACAAATATAGAGCGGCTATTTTTCTTGAAATCTCGTACGATCTTTTTTCTCCAAATTATTAAAGTGAAAAATTACTTAAGATCATCCTTATATTCAGAAATTCACTCTGGTTCGGAAGGAAAGGCTTTAAGATTCGTTTCATTTTGAACTGTCATACAATCGTTATTGTATTTGTTTATATATTTTGGATGAGTTACGAACTTGGGAAAATAAAATCTGATAAAAACAAAATTGTTTCAGAATTTCTGAATGTATTGAAGATTATTCCAGACTAAATTACCTATCAACTCTTTTATCCAACCAGCCGCCACCATCAGACGAGTGGGTATTGCCGGACACAGGGCCGAGGCTTACGGACATCGAAGTGCCTATGTTCCCGGTAGCTCGCAAAGTAGAAGCACAATTCCCGCCGCTTCCCGAAATCGCCGTTCCCGTACCAGCCCCGAAACCAGCCGAAGAACCCGTTCCCGAGCCTCGGAAACAACCCATGCCGGTGCCCCAGCAACCAGAGGCCATTATGTGGAGGAGGCGACCCGAATACAAGTAATTATCATGCTTTTATTAGTTATTTTATTATCTTGAATTTTTATTGGTGAATGATTCATCAAAATTACGTTATTATTTGTAATTTCAGTTAGTTAATTATTGTTTCAAGACATTGTAGAAAATATATTCATCGTCGCACAAGTAACTAAAAATGTCATGCAAAATATTGAACGAGTCCTTTGAATCATCTATTCGCTATTGCCAAACGGTGTTGTTGTTATGTATGTCGGTCGAATTTCTGACTGTATGATATGCTGTATTATTATGATGCACAGCATTGATCTCAAGCAGCTTTGAAGACGAATATATAATTATAATTAACTAATCATAATGAATAGATTGTCTTACAGTGTTATAGAAGCTACTTTCAAAAATTTACCGCAATCATCAGGGTTTTTTTTTACTGTTATCTATAATGTATCTTTTTCTTCAGGAGTTAAGGTCACACCTTATTAAATATACACGATTATACATCAGAAGTAGCTACAGTGTACGTAGTCAGAAGAGAATTTTTCAGACTATTGATGACGTATATACCGTATGATCTGATATGTGTGTATATGTGCCATTAGCCCAGTCTTTCCTAAGTTAACCATGGACGGCATAAGGCAACAGGATATTGGCGCTCAACGAATTCCCGGATTCGATTTGATTGTATCACTTATCATGCTTAAAGTAGTGAAGATACACTTTAAATCAGTCCAACTCACTATTTCCTTCTGAATTTTTGTAGACCTAAGAAGAAAAAATGGCGGAAGGTTGAGGCAAGCGGCAATCCACCTAGCAGCCCAGACCCAGCCGTTAGAGATCCGCTCGACTATCTTGCCAAGTACTGCATCGTCCAGTAAGTACCACTGTTCTGAACATCAATCTTATCTATGTTTAATTTATATTCATTGTCGAGTGTTTGTAAAATGAAACAGCAAAGAGCATCTCATGATTGAAACAGAAAAGATGTTTAAGGAAGAGATTAATGTAATTTAATTCTTTAGCAAGCTAACAACTTTTTAGTAAGATAGAAACCTAAATAGATTTGGTAGGTCTAGTGGGAGAATTACTATTTTTTGCTTACATCTGCTTCTTTTTTATTCTAAACGTTGGCATCAACAACTCAAGTGCAATTACAGTATACGTTTATGAACTGTACATTAATTTATATACCTCATTGATATAACCTTCAGTACTTTGTTATGATCGCATTCTGAAGACAAATTTTATTTGATGGAATTTATCCATTACGTCATTATGATCTTTAGAAGTATTGTTAAATCTATATAATCAAATTTGAGAGACTTTAACACGTTCAGATGAATAGAAAAATAATAATTAGGCCACATAATTTTGAAGTGCTATTATGTTGCTACCCCTTCAGCAAAGAACGGGTGCCCCATTACCAGCGAATCTTCAACACCCATCTTCGAAGTACAGGGGTCAACGTCGAAGACCGTACGTTACGACAGTGGATGAACACGACGACGACGGCGAAGGACAAGGCAGTCGGTGACCACGATGCCGATGATCAATCCGAGACGGGATCAATAATGACAGAACAATCATCCGGATACGGAAGTGCAATAGTGAGGTCAAGTGAGGTCAATCTCGAGTTCAAAAGTGACTTAGAAGAGTTCAATGCCACCTTTAAAAACACGCCCATGGAGGTCAATGAAGACGATTATGTCAGTCCGATGAAGCTGTCGGCGGACGATGCCGAGAATGATGGCGGTAAAGGCGGTGGGAAAGATTCCGACGTTGATAGCGGCAGAGCAGACAGCGCCTCCAGCGACAACCCGGAAAGAATGTTGCGGGCGAAGATTGCATCGTATGGAATTCAAGACAAAGTACGTGGACTTAATTATGTTATTGTTTATATTTGCATTTTCAATCGTAATTTTGTATCATCTGCAATATTTTACAGGTTCATAAACCAGAAAAGGAGGTGTCAGGAAGGATACCAAACATTATTTCTATCATTACCAATGGTTTCATTTCAAAACATAGAAACTACAAAACACACCAAAAAGTTATACTAAATTTTCTTTAAAAAAATACTTATTACCTGTCATATCGAGTTGCAATGATAGATCGTGTATTATGACGAGCTATTTGTTCCCCCTAAAGAAATCTTGTATTTTAAAATCGAGATGAAAGGACATCAAACGATCTTTCAAATAGAGCTCCTATATAACATTCCGTCAACTTCTTCGCTTGACTCTGTTTAGGGATTTGTATTGATTTTGTTTTGAATCTCAGTGGTTTTAGTTCAGTCTTTACAGAAAAAATGGCAACCATTTAATATCATTTCAGTTCAATTATCTACTCACCATTCTTATTTCTGTTTTTTCTTTATTTTCTTAGTTTGACGTAGAAGAAAAACTGGACAAGAGCCGCTTTTTGTTAGAGAGGCAAGCGCAAAAAGTATCCAGTTTGAAGGAGAAAGTTGTCCAGTTAGGAGGTAAGATCAGAGAATTTCACCAATGTAGATGTTTTATTGACATACGCAGGACGATAGTAAACCGTAGTGTTTTGTTTCCTCACCTACTCATTACATTTTTCCAAATATTTCAGATTTTTGAAAAGGAATTGTAAATGGAAATTATTGGGGTGGGGCTGGGGTGGGTCGTTATTGATTTGGCAGAATTTCCACCATGGTCTTAACCCTAGAGCTCATACTGACTGAAAGTAAGCAGTACTTTTAGTCTTGTTTAGTTCTTGTATCATTTTTGAAGTATTAATTGACCTTTTTTTTAACGATTTTGTTACAGCTTATCGTGATAAGGCGATCGCAGACATCGCACGGACCGAGTTCCTCGAGATATTCCGTTTCGACTGGGACCCGGATGCTGCAGCAGCAGCTGAGGCAAAGAAGAAGAAGGACAAAAAGTCAAAGAAGAAGAAGAAAGACAAAGGTATTACAAAAGGGAAAGCTCTTTATTGGTTGTGATGTTTAGGAATGAATGTAGTGCCCCGGCGCAAAATAAGCAGTAACAGTGATCGTTACGTTTGCTTGAAATATATTTCACATCATAGGTTCTATGCTTCAACCTGAACGTCAAGAATGCTTTATGTCGAAGAAATACTTTAGAATAAAGGCACCGTGACGTTCTTTAACTTCTCGTTCCTTTTGCTCATTTTTACTTATTTTTGCTTACTTAACTGGAACATTTGACGCTTCAGCCTATTTGCTGGAAGGTTGAAAACTAATCCGAAATTGACAGTTTGGTCAGTCTTTTATAAATCAAGGCTAAATTAACTTTTATTTTCCTACAGACTCCAAGACATCGGAACCAAAGAGCGTGATAATTGGCGAAGCAGACACATCATCGCCACCATCATCATCGTCGTCATCAAAGCCGTCAGAACCGGTTATAACCGGCGGTTTCAAGTTTCCTGTCCTGAAAAATGGGACCGACCAGTGGGTTCTGAGCCGAATGACGGACAAACAGGTCGCTATGGTAAGGGGACTTATGATGAATTGCTCCTTTGAAGGAGAAGAAGGAGGAGGAGTAGAAGAAGAAGAAGTAGAAGAAGAAGAAGAAGAAGAAGATGAAGAAGAAGAAGAAGAAGAAGAAGAAGAAGAAGAAGAAGAAGAAGATGAAGATGAAGATGAGGAGAAGAAGGAGGAGGAGAAGAAGAAGAAGAAGAAGAAGAAGAAGAAGAAGAAGAAGAAGAAGAAGAAGAAGAAGAAGAAGAAGAGGAAGAAGAGATGAAGAAGAAAAAGAAGAGAAGAGGAAGGAGGAGAACAAGGAGAAAAAGGACAAAGAAGAAGAAAAAATAAAAATAAAGGAGGATAAGGAAAAGAAGAAGGAAAAAAATAATGAGGAGAAGTAGTAGAATGAGAACACTTCCATGAGAAATACACCTACGTGCGTCTTTTCACTCTCCATGATTACGAACAGTGAGGAGTATGCAGTTCCTAACTGTTGATAGATACTAAAAACTTGTTTAACATCACTTACTAATGCATTCTAAGCATTTCTGAAGTTAAGTTTAGGAATATTTATTGGAAGAGGAATATTTATTGGAAGAAGAATACTTCTTGAAGTTCAGTTGTGCAATTGCAATATTTTCTTTTTCAATTTTACAAATTGTATGATGATGGTTATTTTGACAGGCCGAGACTGATGCCGAGGTTTGCCGACTCTCAGTCAGCAAACAGATCACAGAGGAGAGATTGGAAGCAGCGAACAAACAAATCAAAGAACGAGAAGGTAGGATACTATCAGCCAATCAGAAACATTGTTTTAAATTAGCTTTTAATAGGAAAGTCAAGTGATTTTTAACATTGATTTAATTTAGCTTTTAAAATGCTTGCCCTTTGAGGTGTTGCAAAGTTCTTTGCCGCGTTTGACTTTGACTTTTGTTCTTTTGCTGCGCAGGTGAGACGAAGATGTTGGAAGAACTGGAGACGAAGATGAAAGAGAACGAATCATCTGAACGGATGGCATCTAAACCAGAGTTTAGAAGGAAACAAAGTACTCTCTTTAATATGATGAACCAAGAAGAGGTAGGAACAAACTCTTTCTCCCCTCTCTCTCCCCTTTTAATTATTCCCCGAGTCTCTCTTCTTGCTCTCTATTTCATCTTCAGTCACATTCTCTCTGTTATATATAATAATATAAACAAAGCTCTCGTTTAATCCGTTTTTCTCTCACACATGTTATTTTTCATCCTGTCCAATATCACATATATATATATATATATATATATATATCGTCTCTCGTCTCGCTTCCACCTGTTGCACAGTCACGCGCACCCAAGCACACCCACACACATAACTTGTGTGATCTCTTTCATCGTGTCTTTTTCAGTCTCTCTCTTTCGCACACTTCTTTTCTCTTTAACGTATGCTCTCCTTTTTGTCCATCATGAATTATTATCATTATTTGTTATTTTTTAAGATTCTGCTGCCTGACCTGCCTAAAACGAAAGATTGTTACTGTTTTGCAATGTTTGATAAAGATAATATCATAAGAATGCTGAGTTATGAAAATAAAATTTCGGATAAAATTTCACATCTTAGGGTCGGATACTTAATGAAGCGTAAGAGAGGTATACTAATCACTGCATGACATCATCTATCATGAGGGATTGCAAATAGGATATTCACATTATTTCCAGTAAATGCCACAGGTTCAAGAGAAACAATATTTTGCGAAATACCCTGTATAAAAACTACCTTCACACTTTTTCTTTTCCTTTCATATCTTCATTTTTTCTTTCCAACAGCCATACGAAATCGAGACGACGAACATGGAAGGTCTACTGCAAAAAGTCAACAGCCACTTGATATCAGAAAAAGAATGTCAATATGTGTATCATGTGAGTATTACATTTAAATAATCCTATTACGGGTACATATTTATTCCCAATTCTTCGGTTATAATTCTGTGACCTTTACAATAGCGTAAATGACCTGATCAGTTTTAAAGTGAATTCTTTTTACAATATAGCGTATAGTATTTAACAATGACCGTTGGAAACGGCAACCAAATATGTTTATGAAAGAGATGAAATGTAGCTTATGGGGTCAAACTAGAAGACTGCATAGAGCTATGTCATGTGTGCAGGCAGGGAGACTTCCGTAACGAGTTAAAACTATGTTTAAAAAAAAAATCCCTTTTATTTCTGCTTAAAATTGTTAAGAATTGATTAATTTGTGTTCTGTTTTAGGTTCTTGATTTACCTCAGCGGCGTCGGATCGATTTCAAGCTCTTCACCATTGTTGCAGCCTTGTCTGAGAAAATATCAAAACTGGAGTAAGTTAAGTTTTATTTTATCTTCTGTTTTTTTTTCTCGATTATTTTCTGGTCATTCTAATTTTAAAGAACGATTCCCCCCCCTTTTTTCCCCCACTACTTCGAAAATTTCAACTCTCGTTTTTGTATTTCTTTAATGTTTATTACTCGTCCCTTCTCATTTCTTTTTTAAATAACGTTTACGTTATATTTCAACCATTTTTAACACAATATTAATTATTCCCCCCATGTTCCACCTCCGCGCACTTTAATTTTTTTTTTCGTCTAGTATACACACGTGGCATGAAGTGGTATGACATGTGATTTGCAAGCACAAAACGCCCTTTTGTGCTTTTTAGTGATATATTGATATCAAGTTGAACACCTGTTTTATACAAGTATCAAAAGTTTATCACTAGATGAAAGACACTTCAAAACCGCTCACTTTTAAAAAGAAACAAATCATGCATTTTCATAAATTTATTTCACTTGTTTGAGTCCAAAATAAGACATAAGGACGACTGGCATGTTTTAAATATGCGTAATTTTATGCAGGTATTCTTAAAAAATCCTAACATTGCCTCCTTCCTTATCATCTGTAGCCCTTTTATAAAGAAACTCATCAACAAGATCAACTTCGAGGCCCTGGATGTGAAGATGGATCGAGCCAAGGAGCTGTTCTATCTGCTGGAGGACGAGGACGAGCACGGTTTCCCCGGGGAAGTCCCCGTCAGGAACTTGCAGGTAGAGCTAGAGGCAGGAGGCCTTCGAAGGGAGCATGCCGACCTGGTAAGTGTGGAAATCAAATTTCATATTTTGGTTCAATTTTGTTTACACTATTCAATTTCATTGTAAATCAACCATTATGAGTCCTGAACTTTACGTGTTGATGTTTTAAACCGAATAAATCAATAAATAAATAAAATATAGCCAGATGTTTCCTTTTTTAAAACTGATGCATAGATGTAGTACAACACCATGACACAGTTTATCATGAGGAGGATTGCAGCCTCGAAATCTCAAAGAAACGTCAATTGTTCAACTTATAGAATATCATTTACCTGTACCTTTCTAAAAAGATATCTGAAACAATGTAGGAATAGGTCAAGTGGAAGTCTAAAGTGAATAATTGTTTGATAAAATTCCTCTCTATTGGTGTAATCATTGTTCTCAGGTGATGGAGAAGTTTACCCGAGAAGGCAAAGGAACAGTAGACTTCCTGGACTTCTTGACTTACATCCCTCTCTTCATCGACCTGCATGAAAGCATCATTTCCGATCCTCTCTACGCTACCAAGGACCTGTGAGGATACCCTATTGAAAGACCTTTGACCTCAAGCGCACCTAATCATGATGCAGTAAAGAGAAGAGGGGATGAGGAAGGGGAGGGGGTGTACCTTAACAAAACAAAATATAGGACCAAAGATTGAAACAATTGAATTAAAAATATGGTCACTTCTTTTTGAATGGATGTACCTGCTGATAACTTGCACCAATGAACGTGCTTCTCATCGATGATAGTCATCCTATATTACACTCTCCTGTGGAGAATATTTCTTTTGATACTCGAGTATAGAAAAGAGTTTAAGAGATTGGTCAGTTGACCAATATTGAACGTAGAGGAGTGAAAATTCCACTCTTTGAGGTGTCATAATTATTATGGATTACTTCCCCTCAAAAGTATAGTTGAATTCACTCCAAAGGAGTGGATGAATCACTCTTTTTAGAGTGGATTCCATGTTTATCATATATTTCCACTCCAGAAAGGAAGTGATCCTTAATATGACTCCCCACATAGTGGATTTCCACATTTTTACATTCAAAAGAGTAAATGAAAATAAAATATATATGAAGTTGAAGTCCCCGTTTAAGACGATACCAACACGGTTATTAGTCTAAGATCGTAGCGTTAATCCACACCCTTTTTTGTAAAAAAGGGTCAATGGATATTTACATTGTTATATTATTGTAAGAATCAGCCTGATTATATTGAAGCAAGTAACTAGTTTACCATTCCATCCAACGCTCTATATTAGATATCATCTTCAGGGTATATATCATTGTGTTATGATTCGTGCATATATTACTATCAAGGTATCGCCTCCCGGTTCGGAGGTTGATTGCAACATTTTTTTTCTCCATATATCTCTGTTTTCTGCCATCCTAGTACACTTTCGCAGTGTCTTTCCACTTCATGTCTCAATGTTCCCATCCCAGTTAGTTCTTGGTTGCCCCTCTTGATATATTAATACCCGTGTTCAATATACCGTACATATATAGTGTCAGAGCATGACACTTTTTGTTCACTGTTCAAATGATAATTGCTTGTTTATTGGGTGTGGGATGTGCATTCTAGAAATCACCCTGCAGCATAATAATTGCGACTGGTACATGTAAATACCTATTAGTCTATGACAATCAAGAAACTTTTGTAGCTTTGTAGTAATAGTAGAGGTTTGTCGTAAGCAGGGTTTAATGGTTCACCTGTACAGATATCGAAGTAAAATGGTCCAAAGACAGTGGTCCGAATTCTTCGACACCATAATCATTTTCAATGCATAACAATCTGTTTTTCTTTAATATTTTCGCCATCTACTCTCGGTTATTTCTTTTTTTTTATTTTCTTTTCTGCCTGTCTCATTCTTTGATTTTGATCCACTTTTATAATACCTTTCACTGAACTTCTAAAACTATTTTATCAGTGATTACATTACAATGTTCTTCCTTTAATTGTTTACCTCCCCTTTCTCTCTCTCTCTCTCTCTCTCTCTCTCTCTCTCTCTCTCTCTCTGTCTCTCTCTCTCTAACTCTCTGTTGAAACTTAGTGATACATCTTTATCATCTTCCTTTTCCTCGTTTTTTTTATTATTGCATACTATGACGTTAATGAGCGTGTGCAATCTTATAATAAGAAAATATATTCTTGGCACTTTATATAGGATCATGATGCAGTTTCTAGAGTTGAATTTTTATTTCAAGAGCTGTCATTTTATATGAGCGATGTAATAATATGTGTAGTCTATGAAGCAATCTTGTATGTTTCACTGCGAGCAATCAACCATTATGTATATATTTTACCTCAATGTTCAATCATTGATGTCGTCTTTCCCTGTATTCATCAACTCTTCATATGGACTATAGTATCTTTATTTGTATGCTTTTTAGTTTGTATGACCAACGTGTTCAAATTACCGTCAACCATACTTTTGATCTGCAATATCCTGGATTTTGTTTATGATTTTTTTTGTTTCTTCAAGATTGTGACAAAAATAATAGGCTACTTTAAAAAAAAAAAAACACCAGAAGATATTTAAGATAACAGCTTTCCGCAACGAATCGCATATTTATGATTATGATGTTTTCGCTTGCAAAGTTGAACCTTTCTCTTTACCATATTGTCTAAAATTGTGTGCATAAATATTTTATCTTGCCATATATTAAGCAAGGTATGGTTAGTGTGTTATATTGAGGGGAGGCTGGGGGGGGGGGGGGGCGCTTTGAATGGAAAGATACGTTTTTACTCCAATATTTATAGACTTTTGTAATTTCTTATAATTTACCACGTTACATTTTCAGCGTGGTAGCATACAGGCCTATAAAACTCTTCAGAAAAAAAGCCACTAAATCTAGAAGCTGACTGTCAACGTTTTCTATCAAACTCATCTCACCAGGGGCTAAATATCCATCAGTAGCCGAAAAATTCATTTAAAACGCTTAAAATACTGCTAATGATTCATAAGATACTGCAAAAGTCAATTATGACTGAATTGCCTTGAAACCCAATCAAACAAACAAAACAATTCTTCTGAAAAATAACTAAAATGATCAAAGTTAAAGAAAAGAATGAAACATTTTGTGTGAGGAATTATATATTTATGGAAATTAATACTAACATTATAATACAGAGATACAGGTGTATAAGTTTAAATTAAATACGAATGTATATTGTGCAATGCTGATGATGAACTAATTTGCTATAGTGTATAAGTTTGCCGAATATTGTATGAAGCAATAAAAAGATAAAGTTATTTACATATAGATCAGTGTACTGCGCAGTCAATTTATCATAAAAGAATGTGTCTTCTAACTATATATTATAGTTGCCGGTTGTCAAGAGGCTTAGGAAAACTGCAGAGAGTGTGTCCATATAATTATATAATACGAATATTGGTAGAGGTATATAGCAACCCATTGATGCAGATAATATATTTATCTCTACATACGCGCACACACACACACACACACACACACACACGCAGAGGCGGCGGAGCGACTTCCAAAGTGGGAGGGCACCAACAAAAAAGGGCACTTTCTGGGGGAAAAAAGGGCACCTTCAAAGGGAAATCTCAAAGCGAAAATACACAATTCTTGAGACCTTGGTTTATATACCCCTATAATGTAATTACATTATCGGGGATGATTTCAATATTTGTTTCTCTTTATACATCATATAAGATATCGCTTGAGCATCATACTTTCCAGTTGGGTGTGATGGTCTGAAAATTCATTTGCAAGCGAGGAAATTTTTTAAGATTTGTGAGGTCGCAGTGCGAAAAATTACATCTTCTAAAGAGGAAAAACCCAATCCTGATGGGATTATAAGCACATTCTCATAACGGATGACTGAAAAGGCCTTTGATAAGTTACATAATTATAACATATATAACTACGAGGGAGCGTAGCGAGCGAGCTTTGGGGGAAATCGCTCTTAGTCGCTTGAAATTAGGGGCACGTTTAATAGTGAGAGGAAAAGGAGGCACTTATCGCAAGGGTTAAGACACTTATTAGAAAAGAAAAGGACGTGTCAAAATACAAAGGCTGATTATCAGAGGTGAAATGGGGCACTTGTTAGACCTCAAAAAAGAGGCATGCACCAAGGATGACGAGGAAATGGGCATTTGTCGACGGAAAAGAGGCACCCAAGAGGCACCCATCACATTTTGATAGGGACATTAATGAAAAAGGGATAGGTTCCTTATTAGAAAGGAAAAAGGGGCACATATCATTGTTAAAAGTATAATTATCAGAGGTGACAGGGAGCACTTATCGCATATGAAAAGGGGCACAGACCAAACATGAAAAGAGGCACTTATGAGAATGAAAAAGGGAAATGTGCATTTGTTGAAAGAAAAGGGGCACCGATCAGATTTAATAGGGGCTTTTATGAAAAGGAAGAAGTGGCTCTTGTTAAAAAGAAAAAGATGCACATGTTGAAATAAATGTTAGATGCATGATTTCTCTATTCCTTGAAATGTCAGAAGTGTCATCACAATTTTCATTTTTTCCCCTTTTTTTTCTGCTTTCTTCCCCCTTATAAGCTAATAGTTTTACTGTGTATCACTATGCGTGAACATGCAAGTTTATTGCCTAATGTTGTGTATTCTCAATTCTTTACTTGTATAATTATGCTCTTTAGTACGTTGTTGACATATTGCACCTTTCCTCTAATAATTTTGATTTTATTGTTCTTCAGTGTAATATACTCATATTACTTTACCTCGTGCAATATCTTTTTGATAATGTTATCCTTGTACTTTTAGGTTGTTACATTCCGTGCTTTCTCATGTTACTCATGCTTTGTGTGAAACCCCTTCTCCTTCCTCTTCTCTTGGGTTCTCATCTTTTTCTTTTTTCTTTCTCTTTTCTTACCTCTTTCCTCAGCTATTATCACCTTTTCCCTCTTTTTTTTTCTTTCTTCTTTCTTCACACAATACATAACAATTTTTTTCCCTTGTACTTTGATGCTTTGATAGTAACAGTGAATATGACTTCTCTTTTTAAAAAAAATCTATTATAATCCTTTTGAGTTACAAAATTATTTGCTTTGAACTTTGATGTGTTGCGGGATTGGCATAACTTTACTCTTTTGACTTTAAAATGACGTTGATATATTATATTGTCAAACATTTTTTTCTTTTCTTTTTTAAATCTGTTATTTTTACTTTTTAAATCATATTTCAACTTGAGGTGCACTTGGCAGAGATTCTTCTCTCTTTCTATTTTTCTTGTTCTACTCTGTCACCCTTGGACACCCTTGACGATCTTCTCCCTGTCATTACCAAGATGTTTAATCTCTCCTTGTCCTCTGGCCATGTCCCAGAATCATTTAAAACGTCTCTACTCCTTCCTCTTTTCAAGAAGCCGAACCTTGATCCGAATGGACTGAACAACTACAGGCCTATTGCAAATCTACCTTTCCTAGATAAAGTTTTGGAGAGGATTGTGGCTGCTTAGCTGAAGGCCCACCTAGAGAGATTTGACATGCTTCCTGTCCATCAATCTGCTTACCGGAACCACCATTCAACAGAAACTGCTTCGGTTAAAGTCTTAAACGATCTTCTCCTGGCCATAGACAAGGGTAATGAAGCTGTGCTCATCCTCCTGGATTACACGGCTGCATTTGATACCATCGACCACACCCTGTTACTCCATCGCCTGGAAAATGACTTTTTTATCACCGGAACTGTTCTTGATTGGATACGCTCATATCTCCACAATCGCAGTCAACGTGTGATCATCAACGACACGCCTTCTGCAACATTTCCACTGATCTGTGGCGTTCCTCAAGGTTCCGTAATCGGCCCACTTCTCTTTGTTCTCTACACCGGCCACTGTCTAAGGTCATTTATTCTCACCAGGGGATTCATCATGCGATGTACGCTGACGACACTCAGATTTATATAACTCTTAAGCCTAACGGGAAGGATGATGCGACTCGGAAACTTAGCAGTTGCCTTGAAGATATTAGGTTCTGGTCTTCTAACAATAGACTTTGCCTTAATGAACGAAAATCTGAAATGATCCACATTACTTCCAAATTCAGAAACACCGATTCCTTCCCCGACTTGGTTACCGGAGATGGTTCACTGAAGGGTAGTGAATACGTTCGAGACCTTGGTGTTTTAATCGACAAAAATCTTACATTTCAGTAGCATATTAAAAACGTTTGTTAATCTGCATCTTTTGGAATCTTCAAAATTGGGAAAAATTAGGAAACTACTTGACCGACCTACAACTGCAAAATTGACCCATGCTTTTGTATCCTCTCACCTTGATTATTGTAATTCAATTTTTTTCTGGCCTTCCTCATTCATACTTACTTCCACTCCAAAGAATTCAAAATACTGCTGCAAGGCTTGTTACTCTCTCGAGAAAATTTGAGCACATAACCCCAATATTGCGTTCTCTCCATTGGCTTCCCATACACCATCGTACAACATTTAAAGTTCTTCTTCTGACATACAAAATTCTCCATGGCCAAGCCCCTAAATATCTTTCAGATTTGATTTCCTTACGTTCTTCTAGTTCTTTAAGACCTCTTCGATCATCATCAACCTTGCAGCGCATATTCATAATACTCATTCTCTTGACCAGTTTAAGTCCTTACTGAAAACGCACCTTTTTAATTCATGAATGCTATTATGCAGTTGTGAGTCGGTCAAAGGAGGTGCACACCATCTTATTCTTTGTTTGTTTGATATTTTGTTTGATCTCATGTTTGACCTTATGTTTGATCTCATTTTTATTTTTGTTACTATATATGCATGATTTATTGAATAAAGAACATATTTGTATTTTTTGTGTTTATCACAAGTTTTAGTTGGTAATTTTAAGTCAGACCATGGTGCGCTTAGAAACACCTGTATTAAGCGCCTAATAAATGTTATATATTATTATTATTCCCTGATCAACTTTTCTTTCTTTTTTCTTCTTCCTTCTATTCCTCTTTCTAGTTCCGTCTTTCTCTTTCTCTTTCTCTCTCTCTCTACTTTTTTGATGACACAGAAGGTTTTTAATGTTTTTAATATTTGTAATATATTTAAATTGTAACGTAATATTTGTAATATATTTAGATTTTGATGTAATATTCGTAATATATTTAGATTTTGATTTAATGTTTGTAATATATTTAGATTTTGATGTTATATTTGATTCTCATTTTGTTTCATTATGCATGATTTATAGTCGTACGTTTTAGTCATTCATATTTTGATCGTTTATTATGTTGTTTATTGACTTTGTAAATTGAATAATTTCAGCTTCCCAGCTGCATGTTCTTTTATTTCAATAAACCGAATCAAATCAAATCAAATCAAAATGGGGCACTTATCAAACATGAAAAGGGGTAATTATGACAAGGGGAAGGGGCACTTATAAGAAGTAAAAGGAGCATTTATTAGGAAGGAAAAGGGGGACATATCAAAATAAAAAGGGGTATTTATGAGAGATGAAAAGGGGCACTTATGAGAATAAAAAGGAACTATTTTCATAAATGAAAAGGGGCATTTATAAGAAGGTAAAGGGGCTCTTTTTTAAATGGGGCACTTATCATAAGGAAAAGGGGCACTTTTTAAAAAGGAAATGGGGCACAGGTGAAATATAAGGTGTGCTTATCAGGCACGTAGCCACGGAGGGGGGGGGGCACGTGCCCCCAAAAAAATGTCCAAGATCGGTTGAACTTTTTTTGACCCCTTTTTTTGACCTCGATCGATTACATGTAAAGTGCCCCCTAAACATCAAACTCTGGCTACGCGGCCTGGTGCTTATTCAAGTTTTACAAAGGAAAAGGGGAACTTGTCAAAGCAAAAGGGGAACCTCTCAGATTTGAATAGGGCAATTATCAGAGGCGAAGGGGGCGCTTATCAAAAGTGAAAAAGGGCGCTTGTCGTAGAGATTAAAAAGGGCACTTATGAGAATGGTAAATGGACACTTATTGCAAAGGGAAAGCCAGTGTAAAAAAAAGGTGCACTTATCAGAGGTGGAAAGGGAAAGGGGCACTTTTAAAAATTAATAGGGACACTTGTCAAAGTAAAAGGGGCACTTTTCCTAAGTAAAAAGGGGCACTTCTTTCAAAGTTGAAGGGGCACTTTTCCTTTGCAAAAAGGAGCACTTTGAGGGTACTTGAAAAAGTGGGAGGGCACTGTGCCCCCCTGCCCCGCGGGAGCGCCGCCTCTGCACACACACGCACACACACACACACACACACTCACTCACAACCCCCTCACAAACTTATACACAAGATCGTATAAACACATTTTCATTCTAAATTTCACCTTTTAACTTTTATTTTGAGGCCACCATCCTAGTCAAGCGTCAAATTTTGAGTAAATCGCAATTTGTTATCACATTACACACCCTACCAGTGAATATTTGTATATTACAGTAAATATCCAATTCATATATTGAACAGCCGGTATTAGGAATAAATCATTGTCAAAATAATTAAATAAATTGGGGTAAAAATAATTATTCCACCATTATGACCAACAGTGTAGTTTTCATATTACAGGTCAATGAAGTCTACTTTTTGAAACTTAAAGGGATTGGGTAACGTTGTCTCAGGTTCTGAAACAAAATCCTGGAATGATAATTAGGGCTAGTTCTGACCGAAAAACGACCCAAATATCGGAGTATGGCTAGCTGCCCCAGGGCCTTGTCCTTTATACGGATCAGGGGGAAAAATACTTAAAAAATTTGGGGGACTACTTTTCAAGCTTGCTTGCATAAAAATAACACTCTTTATTTTTTGTTTTGCGTTGAACTCTAAGCATATTTTTTTTGTTTTTTGTTTTTTTTGTTTGGGGGGGGGGGGGAGCTCTTTTTATGACTTTCGGGTGCTCTTTTGGCATTTCGGGGGCTAATTCGCCACGAGCCCCCGTGTATTTTCACCCTGATACGGATAAGTGAGTGCCCTGATGGGTCCACTTCTAAGTCGTGTTTTTAGTCCTTTTTTCTTTACTTTTTCCTTTCCTTTCCTTTCTTTTTTTTCAAAGAAGGGGGGGGGGCGGGTCCGTTGCCCCCCCGTATATCCGCGCCTGAGTGACACCCACATAAACTAACCTTACCTATTACCTAACAAAAAATGAAGAAAGAGCCCCTCGGCACCATAGGTGTCAGTATTCAGCCAATTCCTACCCCCCCCCCCCCCCACCGAAATAACTTTTAAAAGTGATTTTTTTTGTTTTGTTCTTATTTGATACCAGTGATTTACAGATGTTGCTGAAATGGCATAATTTTCCGGGATTTTCCTCATTTTAAAGTAAATTGTACTTTTTATGCGTTTATTGGAGAATTACAAATATCATAATTTACAGTCAGGCAAGAATGTGCTTGTTTACTATTCAGAGGCCTAAATGTCAGATCCCGCGGAACGGCGAGATTGGGGACTCAACCCCGCCCCCCCACACACACACCTTTGAAAAAGTATATTAAACAGAATTAAATAAAAAGAAATAGAAAAGAAAGTATGCTCATGTGACCGTAATTAAATGCCTATACCCCTGAGCTGCCGGGGGCTCTGCCTCCTGGACCCCACCTTGGGCCCTAAGGCTGGCCCCTGGATGCTCATCTGACCTTAATTTAAATGCCTGAAACCCCTGCGCTTCCGTGGGCTCCGCCCCCTGGACCATACGCCAATTAGTGACCTGCCAGTGTCATGAATAAGGTATTAAAATATGCTCATCTGACCGTAATTAAATGCCCCTACACCCTGAGCATTCGCCAATTTGTGCTACGCTCTACCTTATCTTAATACTCTTAAATACTCCCCCACTCACTTCCAACCCCATTTTTAATCACTTTTATTTCCCATTTATCTCCTTCATTAAACCTCGAAACGCCCCCAAATACTTAGGGCGGGGCCTTGACCACGAGTATATACTAGTAGTGAGTTGGTTGAAGTAAGAAGCCACGTACAAAACTATAATCGATTACAACAGTTGTGGGCCGATATCACGAGTATGCCTTCTTAAAATAATAATAATAATAATAAATTACATTTATAAAGCGTTATTACAATGTTTCTAAGCGCTTAACATGACAAGGTACAACATAAACTAAACATACAGCAATAATAATACATAATTCTAATAATAACATTACAGATAATTAAAAACTTACTTTAACAAAACTGCCCTATAAATTACTATTAAACAAAAAATACTTCAAACTTGCCTTAAAAGACTCTACAGATGGGGATTGACGAATAATAATTGGTAAACTGTTTCATAATTTAGGGGCTGCAAAGGCCTGTAATACCAAAAGTACGATCTCCGTAACGGGTATTGGTTCGGGGACCAGGGGCGTATTGGAAATTAGCATTTGTAGTTGACTGTAATGAACGTGATGTAACAATAGGTTTGAGAAGGTCGTTTAAATATGATGGAGCAAACCATGTTTAATTTTGAATACTAACAAAAGAATCTTAAATTGAATGCGAGTTAAAATAGGTAGCCAATGAAGAGATCTAATGATAGGAGATATGTGTTCATATTTTCTGGTTTTGGTAATGAGACGGGCTGCCATGTTCTGAATACGTTGGAGTGGAGACATTGTGGAAGTGGGTAAGCCAAAGTACAATCCGTTACAATAATCTAAATGAGAAGTCACAAAAGCGTGGATCAATCGTTCTGTAGACTGTCTGTCCAAATATTTTCGAAGTTTACTAATCCTGGAGATACCAAAGGCAGCCGTCCGACAAGTATTCCTGATGTGTTGTTTCAGTACATTATCAACAGTGACGACTTCTGAAGGTATGATTTCAACGCCATCAGCATCCAAGCATGGCAGACTGCAAGAATTTCTAAACTGCGAGGTGATGGGTAGTACCTCAGTCTTATTGATTTAACTTGAGCAGGCGCGTACGCAGGGGGGGGTGTGGGGGGGTTAAACCCCCCCCTTTGGTATTTTTATGTGTGTAAACCCCCTAAAAAATCCCTAACCCCCCCCCCCCTTTGGAATTGTTTTTTTTGTTTTTTGTTTTTTTTAATTATTAAAAAAAAAAAAAAAAAAAAAAATTACCCCCATGGCTGACCTAAGAAAGGTGACCTTACCCCCCCTCCCAACGGAACAAAATGTCAAATTTTCAAATTTCGAAACAAAAAAAAAACAAAAAAGTGTCCTCTTACCCCTTATAAACTTGAGTTTATTCGAAGAAAACCAGGACATGACAAGAAAATATTCACTTCTACTTGCTTAAAAAATTGTAGAGAGTTATTGTTATGTAATTTCTAGAAAAAATGTCAACCACATGATTTACAATGAGTCTAAATACATTGATTTGCCGAGTTGCTTCCTTTTATCAATACACGTAAAACAATGTGAAGACAGACTGTGCGGATAGCGAACCGCACGGATCGTCCCTCGGACGATCCGTGCGAGCAGAAAACCCGCATATTATGTCTGACGGACAAACGAAACTGGTTGGACAAACGGCGCATTTTCACCTTTGTACGGTGTATAGGCCCGTGTATAGGTCGCTACACTCGCTATGATCGACGATAAGATCAAAAATCGTAAATAAAAATCATCGGATTTGGGGAAATGAGGTGATATCATCATTCCCACAGTTGCCATGACTAACTTGAAGATGGAACACTGGTCGTCGAAACAAGTTTGTTTCCGGGTAAGCTATTTGAAAACCTACTAAATATTTCCTCAGTAAAAGTGTTGTCAACAAGGAACTAGCGACGCCATAGAAACAATATATAAATGACCGTGTTGTAGCATACACGGTTAAACATGTACCATTACAAAAAAAAGAAGAAGAAGAAGAAGGAGGAGGAGAAAGAGAAGGAGAAGGAGAAGGAGAAGGAGTAGGAGGAGAAGAAGAAGAAGAAGAAGAAGAAGAAGAAGAAGAAGAAGTGTAATTGAGAGAACAAAGAGCAATCGGGATATAACAATACGAAGAAAATTGAAAATATGATATCAAATCAACTTGAGCGGGGGGGGGGGGGGGTGTCTTACTAAATGAGTGCATGAAGTTGTGTGAATTAACAAGGCCACCGATTAGGGGAGGATGTGGGAAGGGCGTTATGTTTTTTCTTTAATTATCTAATATTTTCCTTTGTCGTCTTTGTCCCTCTCCTCTAAGTATCCCTCTCCTTTTACGCTATTCGCCTGTGCTAAGCCACTGTATGCAGGGGCGTCGCTTGACCTTTTTCAGTGGGGGGGGGGGGGGGTTGTAGAGGCCAACGATTACCGACAAAAGTAGCCACCAATTACCGAAAAAATTAAATGTCCCAATATCTACAAATTTAACTCTATAAACCCGGAGCCGAAGGCTTAATTGTTTTTTCCTATGAACTATTTATAGTACTTGCATATGCGCAAACGGTCATTTCCTCGACGACATAAATATACTGTAACGGCGACTTATATTGTTCGACAATAGGAAGTAAAAGTCCCAAGATATATTAGCCCCGTTATATGTTGAAGTTTAGTTGTTAGGGATGGCCAAGATTCAGGGAGAATAAACACTCCAGAGGCAGAAATTACAGTTGAGGAGTTTATTACAGCAAACCCAAACACATTTACAAGGATGGATGAAAGAGAATGTCTTGCGAATCAGAGAGGCAAAATAATGGTAACCCGACACATGCTCCGCCGACGATTCCTCCGCCGACATTTACTCCGCAAAACGCGACAATTGCTCCGCGACATTTGCTCCGCGACATTTGCTCCGCCGACAATTGCTCCGCCGACATTTGCTCCGCCGACATATGCTCCGCCGACATTTGCTCCGCCGACATTTGCTCCGCCGACAATTACTCCGCCGACAATTGCTCCGCCGACATTTGCTCCGCCGACAATTGCTCGCAAAACGCGACGATTGCTCCGGTGACAAATTCTCCTCGAACGACAGTTGCTCCGCCGACATTTGCTCCGCCGACAATTGCTCCGCCGACAATTGCTCCGGTGACATTTGCTCCGCCGACAATTGCTCCGCCAACAGTTGCTCCGCCGACAATTACTCCGCCTGAAGCGACACTTGCTCCGGTGACAATGTTGATGATAATAATAATAACTAGATTTGTAATACTTGTTTTGAACAAGTATAGGTGGGCTGGTCTAACTAAAATTTGAGACAAAATAAAGAGCAAATTTAAGATAGCTTATTGTCTCAGCTACAACATACTCGAAGTTCAGCGTAAACGGAGCTAAAACGACGGAGATATTGCTCGCGAAAGACGGGAATGTAGAATCCAGTTTTGAAAAAAGTCATGTCCCATAGAGAATACACGCAAAAAGTGAAAAATTGATATTCCTCCTTTAATCGCAAAAATACGCCATGATGCTTTTGTCAAAATGAAAAAGTGTGAAGACTGCATTCGTAGAAGATTGTCCTAGCTAGAACATATCAAAATTGAAGAGAAAATTGATCAATATTATTTTACAGAGATACAATCAATTTTCAAAAAATATGCGGACGTCATAATATGCAAATTGAAATTATGATTCGGAGGCCATTATGATGACGTCGTGAGTTAATTGAGGGTCAAATGAGACATGAAATTATATCTCCGATTCATACTCTATCAACATATGAAAAAAATAGGGGTCACCTTACATTCTAAAGAGCTACAATGGATTTTGTATGGGCATGATTTTTTCCCTTATATGCTATGTATTACAAGAGCTCGCACGCACGGACATGTATCTTGAACGGACCCTCACTCCGTTATTAATGGTCAGAAAAAGGTGAACAAGGTATCAAAATGCTTGAAAAAATGTGCTAAATATGGTGACGAAGAAAATTTGGCGATTCTGTTTTGCAAAATGTCAGAACGCGCGAAAACGCGCGCGCATGCGCGTGTGCGAGATATTTTATAAAATGCTTTAAATGGCCTAAAACGTATGCTAAATGATTTTGAGTTTTTTTTGTGCATTTTGAAATTTTGCCCGCGCACCGACGCGCGGACGTACGCGTACGCGCGCATTTTTTTGACCTTATATTGACCGGACGAATATTGACCTTAATCATGATAAATATGAATCAAAAATGGATTTCGGTTATGAAGATATGATCATGAGTTGATTTTCAGAAAAAATTACAAAATGGCGCCTAGATGACGTCATCAGTGAAGGTCATAGTTAAAAACGTTAATGTGTTTTGTACATATGCCTATACATATATGTGAGCCAAATTTGAGCCATTTTCAAGGTAATCGTGCTTACAGCCCACCTGATAAATAAATAAAGGTAATTCTAACGAAATTATAAGGTGGTCTGTACGATATACAGCCCACCTGATGAATAAATAAATAATAAAGGCAAATCTAACGAAATTATAAGGTGATCTGTACGATATACAGCCCACCTAACAATAAAGAATAATAAAGGCGATTTTAACAAAATTATAAGGTGGTCTGTATAAGATACAGCCCACCTGATAATAAAGGCAAATCTAACGAAATTATAAGGTGGTCTGTACGATATACAGCCCACCTGATAATAAATAAATAAATAAACAAAGGCAATTCTAACGAAATTATGAGGTGATCTGTACGATATACAGCCCACCTGATAATTACAAAAATAACATTAGTAACACCACCAACCATAATAATCATTGTTGTCATTATTATTGTGATACTGCTTCTAGTACTACTCCTACTACATGTACTAGGAAGAAGGACGGGAAGAGGAAGAATCTTATTGTTTATTTTTTGTATTATCGAGGCATACAAATGCACAGGGAGGTAAGAGAGGGAAAAGTAAGGCGACGAAGAGGGAGAGAGAGGGAGAGAGAACGAGAGGGGGTAGCCTATGGCCCGGGTTCAAATTTAGTTCTCTTTAATTCTCTGACCCAGTACTGATGATCATAATTTTATATACCATGTGATTGCCATGTGTACGCCACACCGAATAGCACTAGCTCAAAAGATTTTACTCACTAATATATATATATATATATATATATATATTCAATTCAATTCAATTCAATTCAATTTTATTTCATTCAGTTTAAAAAGACAATATTTCATATAAAAACCAGCTATATAACATAAAATACACATTACGAACATATTTGACATTTGGACATAAAATAAACTGAATAGGTTGCAACCTGAAAGGAAAAAAAATAATCCTTATATAAAGGTTGACCCTTTTTTATAATAAACAAATATGAAATATATCCGTTACTAAACATTATACTATACTCAAATCAAGACAACAAACATACATACAACAAACAAATAAAATATGGCCCGGGTTCAAATTCAGTTCTCTTTAATTTATTTGACCCAGTACTGATGATCATAATTTTATCTACCATGTGATTGCCATGTGTACGCCACACCGAATAGCACTAGCTCACATTTTGTTATTGTTGTCAAGAACTTATTGGCATCCAGCCAGTAGATTTTCATCATGTGTTTGATCTTGTATTGAAAAAAAGATCAAACACATCATCATAATCTACAGAGTGCAACCAAAAATTTCTTAACAACAATTGAAATTTCTTTCAGGAAGCCTAACACTAAAAGCTGTTTTTGATTCAAAGAGCATCGTAGAGACGATGAACAAATAAGAATAATAGTACATTTACTTCTATTTTCCCCGCCAAATAATCCGAACAAAAGAATCAACCGAGGGTAATCAACGGTTAAACGAATTTATCATGAGTCCTTGAAAAATTAATTAATACTGCTTGTGAAATATTATTGAAGAACAGCAAAGGCGAACGCGATAGTCGCTACAATTCAGAAATCATTGCTTGCATTGCTTTTCTCTCAAAATTACCGTGAGATATCAAGCTACATAGAACTATGATCGACACATAAGATATTGTCTTGAAAACAGTCAGAAACATTAGAACTTGAATGAATAAAACATAATGCAAATGAATAAGACTAGAATGAATAGGACACAAATTAATTTCTACCATTTAAATCATCCAGTACCAAATACCTGAGCAAAATTCGAACCAGATGCATTAAATGGTAAACTTAAAGACAATGATTCGTGACAATTGTCAATTGTCATGAGTTTATCGTCTAGACGTATTGCAAAAGATAATCAGAATAATAATGATCAGAATGATACCTCTACTATAAGGCCTAATCCTACATGTACTATACTACACTACTGCCATTGTAGATTATGCTGATAATACAGATGATAATAATGATATGATAACAATTATAACTAGACTTTAATTCGTCACTTAGACGAATTAGGTGATACGTATGATAATGGTCTACATAACGAATAATGCATTACACGATATATTATTTTGTAAAATGCTTCTCCCATTCATATGCTTCTCCCATTATGATCTATTCATATGTCAAGATTAAATCGTGTCTCCTTGATCATCATGGATCTAGGGAAGATAGATTGAAACAATATATGACCTTTGACCCTGTGCAGTAACCAGTTACACATTTGACTCTAATTTACATCATGAAGAACACCTTTTGACGATTTTTATCTTATTCAAAGAAATGAAAATGTAACTGATAAATGATTATCATCATTATGATTATGATGATCATGAGCGCGATCATGACATCTTATTGAAAAAATGAGGGTTGATTTAGATAGCATATAGTCTCAGCTACAACATACTCAAAAATCAACAAAATCTAAGCCAAAATAACGGCGATATTGCTCGCAAAA